GGGGCGGTGTGTGTGTGTGTGTGTGTGTGTGTGTGTGTGTGTGTGTGTAACTCCGGTCATCAGGCTTAATAAGCAAGCACTCTTACTCACTGAGCCATCTAACAACCTCTAAGGGAGGTTCTGTAACTTGTTTTTAAAAAGGCAAAGTTCCTGTTTCCCATGATGACATCAAAGACGCTCTCTACACAGCTGTATTAATGTCATTTAATGGAGCAATAAAAATGCACAGAAGTGAAAAGGCGGCAGCCCCCATGCATAGAGTTTTGGCGGGGACTGATGTCTGTCACCACTGGTGCAGAGCCGGAGGTGGCCAGTGCCACAGCCATGACTCCACACAGGTGGCATCAAGGTGGTAGGCTCCTATTGTGGATCTAAACACATTACTATGAAACGCACCCTGCCACCATGCAAGCATCCCTTGACAACCAGAAACCGCTCTTAACTGTGTAAAACATGACCAGCACAGCCCTGAATAGATCTGCTGGTAACCAGGCCATAGCAGAGCTCCATCCTGCCTTGGGACACTCTGCATTGGAAAGCCAGAGAGTAAGTTTTCTGCCATTCAGAAAACATTTAGATTGAGTCTCAAGTGGGGCAAGGCTAGGGACTTGGTGCAGCCAACAACAAAGCCCAATCATGCCATTACACATCCCAGCAGCGCCCTGCTGGTGTCAGGCTTGTTAGCGGGCAAGCCTTTTGTGCCTGGCAACTTCAAGAGCCCCGGGAGCCCCCAGCAAAAGACATAGGAAATTAGCATTACAAAGGAGGAGGAGGCAAGAAGCTCAGGAGATCAGGTCGGTTCAGGGGTCTTTGCAGAAGTGTGTGTGTGTGTGTGTGTGTGTGTGTGTGTGTGAGAGAGAGAGAGAGAGAGAGAGAGAGAGAGAGAGAGAGAAAACAAGCTTGGTTAACACTGCAGATAATAACCAGTAGAAAGGGTCAGTTAGTAACTGACGACTCTCTGAGCAAAGGATGTCCCAGGAGATTTGCTGTGGCATCCACTCACCGAACAAGCCCTGGCTTTCCCTCTGGAGCACAAAGCAAGTACCCTAACCCTGGGCAGGATGCAACTGCCTAGAAGTTATGGTGCTTTTGTCTTCAGGATATCTCAGCAGATCAGCTCTGTGCAAAGAGCAGAAGCAGCAGAAGGAAAGAAAGGCAAGGAGGCTCATCAGCTTGGAGCAGGCTCATCAGCGAGCGTGCCGATGGGAACATGAGTCCATGGATTTGGGCTTGCAGACACCATCAGGCACACCTTCTTTTGTTTGCTTGGCTGTGTTTTGTGGACTCTCATTTCAAGATTGCTCCTTCTTGAAGCACAAAGCTCTCCAAAGGCACGGTGTTCTGCTTTGGCCTGGTTGTTTCCAGCTGGCCTGGCCAGTGTTGTCTGGCCTGGAATTTGCTTTGTGGACCAGGCTGCCTTTGAATTCAGAGATCCTCCTGCACTGGCCTAAAGGTGTCATCTTACCAAGCCATCTTGTTTTAGATCCAACACAGTAGGACTGGGGCCTTCGGGCACCAGCCAGGGGCGGTGCCAGGTGACAAGAGAGGCAGAAATCAGGATAGATTTCCCAAGCAGGAGCAGGGGAGGTGCAGGGACCCTGACATTATGGCCTTAAGGTTTCTATCCTCCAGAACTGTGAGGATAGATTCATCCAGTGTCTCATAGTTTGACCTGGTTCAGCAGTCCTGGAATGGAACACAGTGAATAGGCAAGAACCTGGCATGATGTAACTACACCACACATGCTCACCCATGGTCTCTTCCTGACCAAGATGGTGCTCTGTGCACATACACTCAAAGTCAGTTGTGAGAGGAAAATGCAATACTTTGCAGCAAAGAGGATGGGAAACCCAAAAGGGGACCCAGAGTTTGACACACTCCAGGGCCCCAGAGCAACCCTTACCCAGGCTCTACAGGGGGTTGAAAAGCTCCAGTAGACATGCAGAAGGGACATTTGGTCTTGGCCTCTGCCTTGGCCCCTTGGAATTTCCATCCACTAGCCTCCACTCTGTAGCAGCTGTCTTCCACCGCTAGCCTCCAAATTATGACACAGAGACTGATTACTAGTTACAAATGCTTCGTCTTATCTTACTCTTGTCCCACTAGCTCTTACAACTTAATTTAACATGTTTCTTTTCATCCACATTTCACCTTGGGGCTTTTTACCTTCTGTGTGTCCCACTTTCCTACTTCCTCTGTATCTGGCTGGCTGATCCCTCCCTGGCCGCTGGCTGGGTGTCCTTTTCTCTCTGCCCATCAGCCATGCTTATCCCTCCTCTGCCTAACTATTGGCCATTCCGCTTTTTATTAGACCATTAAGCAGACAAGGTGAAACAGCAATACATCTTTACATTGTGAAACAAATGAAGCATAAACAAAAGCAACACACCTTTGCCTAATTAAATATTTTATTCCATAATACCACTTTGCATTGACTACTCAACTCTAGGTGAGAGAGCCAAGCTTGATGTAGATTGTTCTGATGTGGTGTGAAGAAGCCAAGGCCTCAGTGGTCAGTAGAACTGGGCAGGGCACAGGCAGGATTCTGGCTCAGGTATCTGCAAATCCCATGTCCCTTGCTCCCTAGCCTGTTAACCAGTGAGGGCACAGCCCAATATTACTAGCAATTAGACTGTGTTTCACTGAAACAGGTGGCCCAAAGCTAGAGATGCCTGCTCAGGCCCCATGTCTGCAGAGAAGGTTGAGGACAGCACCAAGAACGTCTTAGCTACAAAAAAGACTTCTAGCAGGTAGACAGCCCAGAGAGACTTGCTGGGTACATTCCTGTCCTGCCTCTGCAAAGCATTTCTGGGTCCTCCCTCTGGTCTATGGATACACAGGGGTGGTGGTCAAGATGCTACAAAGGGAAAGTCCCACAAGTTCAAGACTGTGAACTGCACAGGCAATGTGAACCACTCAGTTGGCCAGAAGCCAAGAATTCAGTAGGAACCGATCATCAGATCATACCAAAGCTTGAAGATCACTCTTAACAGAAACTGCTCAAGTGAATAAAGTGGCTTTTGACCCTGTGACCCCTCCTGGCTCCTAGGGGACCTACTCTAAAGGTTCAGGTGTGAACTGGGGCCCAGATGCTCAGCAAGGGAGTCCAGTATCCTGATGTTCTATGTCTGAGACATCAATGTCCAGGACATCCAGCTACAGAGGGTTCCAGGGCCAGGAGCAGGCAGATATTGAAGAACCTAGAGGAATGGAGAGTCGGGCATTCTTGAGGCTCCCCACACAACAATCAGAGTCTGCATTGACTGGGAAAAGCATGGAGGAATTAGCTGCTTGATAGTGAGCCTGAGGTTGCTGAGCCTTGAGCTTCACAGAAGATAAAGGAGAGGGGATGTCCCAGAGGAGGGGCACAAGATAAGCCTTGGGTTGCACTGGAGGCTATGACACAGGGGGCTCTGATGCTAAGTTTCTTGTTATAGGTATAATCAACATGTGCCCTTAGGCCTCAGGTCAGGGCTGTCATGGTGTGGCTTTACATTCAGGCTTTCAGGATAGCCCCCGTATGCTTAGGGATAGAAGTGTACCCATCATATCACTACCTTGTCCCCTCCCCCTTCAGTAAAGCTAAGAGATTCTATTTTGCACAATACCCACCAATGTGACCACCTCCAACATACCTGTGCTTACAGTTTCACCCACAGTTTCTGTTAGCAAGAAGTATGTGTGCACCTTACATGATACCACACCCATCTGTAAGAAAACAGAGGTCGGTAGTCCCCTCATTGCGGCGTAGGGACCTGGGCACAGTGGAGACTGAGCTGCGAGCCTGGCGTGCATGCGTCAAGCCTCGTGCCCCCCCACCCACGAGCTCTTCACCTTGATGCTGAGCACCGGTGCTGAGCCTGCCTGGGTCGGGATGATGGTGAAGTATTTCCTGGGCCAGAGCGTGCTCTGAAATTCCTGGGACCAAGTGCCTTCTGGCAATGGTACCCGAATCCCTATAGCAAACATGTCTTAAGACATCGTGCACTGGGAGGTGTCCCTGACCAGAAGCTTCTGTCTGGGAGACTCCTGACCAAGACCAACAAGATGCCACATTGAGCAGAGCGACTGTTTCCTGCCAACGTTGCCCACTCTGTGTACATCCTAGAGGACTCGATTGTGGACCCGCAGAATCAGATCATGACTACCTTCACCTGGAACATCAGCCATGCCTGGCTGATGGTGGTGGAGGAGCAGTGTGTTTACCCTGACAACAGCGGCTGGACCAAAATCCGTCGAGAAGCCTGGGTCTCCTCTAGCTTATTTGGCGTCTCCAGAGCTGTCCAGGAGTTTGGTCTTGCCTGGTTCAAAAGCAATGTGACCAAGACAATGAAAGGCTTTGAGTATATCTTGGCCAAGCTACAAGATGAAGCCCCTTCCAAAACACTGGTTGAGACAGCCAAAGAGGCCAAAGAAAAAGCAAAGGAGACAGCTCTGGCAGCTACAGAGAAGGCCAAGGACCTGGCCAACAAGGCCGCCACCAAGCAGCAGCAGCAGCAGCTTGTGTAGCTCCCTCCTCCCCCTTCTCATTGTATGTGACTATTAAAAATCCACCTCCAGCCCTCTCTGCTGTCTGGTGGTAGGTCAGGGTGGTGTCCTGGTCCGCATCTGCAGTACATCCGCTCAGTGTCTGCTGAGCCCAGCCTCCTTTTACCCCATTGGGCAGAAAGGTGCAGTGACTTGCCCTGGGTCACAGCAGTGTGCAGGAGAAGTCATCCATGGTAGACTGTGTGCTCCTCGAGGGCAGGGCTCCTTGTTTCATTCTCTGATGTGTCCCAAGTACTCAGAACAACATTTAGCACATAACAGGCACTCAATAAACATTTAAATTGATTGCCCCCCCAAAAGAAAACAGAGGTCAACCACAGTTCCTGTTAGCAGAAGTGTGTACACCTTACATGATACCACACACATCTGTAAGAAAACAGGTGTGAAGCATCAGGACTACAGGAATCGAAGCGACAATCTGTGGCAACACACAGAATAAACCTCTTGAGACGTTTGATCTGGTTTAATTCACAATTTAATTTTTCAAAGCAGGTTACTGGGCTATCGGTTAAACATTAGTGTTGGAGAATGACATGTCTAGTGTACGTACTATATTTGATAATTTAAAACAAATCCAGTACTTATGACAGCTACAGGTAACCATTCATGTTAAATAGAGTCTCTCCTGTTCATACATTACATCGTAAATGGACATTTTAAGTGGTAATAGAGACACACACATGATTTTAAGTCAGACAATATATGTATATTAAAATTCTGAATCTTTTGATAAGGTAAAAAATAAAGCTATATAAATTGATAAACATTTTTTCTGCAAAATTAGAATCACACTTTCATAATACTTCCAACATACACATCTTCATTAAAGCTTTGTTTAGACACAGTATCAGAACCACTCCTGTTTCTGTTCACCTGTCTTCTAGCATTTAAAAGAAAAAGATTGTGTTCGCCAAGTGACTTTTTTCCTGTCTTGACAGTCAGTCATAAACAGGAAACTTCCAAAAGAAATGTAGAACACAAGGGCCTGCTGTTCTATGGCATTGCCAATAAATTACATTAAGATGAGATAAATGTGGATGGGAGAGTCCAGTCCCAGTCAGTGCAGATAAACCTTGAACTTGGGGGTTCAGAGACCCAGGCTGGAGCTTTCTCGACATCACCAGACACCTGGCGGGTGCTCAATGACCTAGGCAGCTGCTCCTAGGAGATGTGCTCAATGAAGACAAAGTTACCCCGCCCGCCCACTGTCCTCATCCCAGATTTGGCTATGCCATCCCCCCTTTTGCTTCCTCAACCTTCAGAGCCTCCTCCCATCCAGGAGCTTCCTGGGTGGGGCCTTTGGTCTGCCTGTACTCAGGAATGAATCGATGGGATTTAGGGGCACATTTTCCTAGCTAGTATGTGGCAAGGAGCAGGTACCTGCACTCAGAGTGGCAAGAAGCTTCCAGTAGCCTGGATCTGCTTGCTGGACCCAGGGAGCAAGAGGAGGTCCTGACTGGGAAGTGCACTTCCTTGGGACCGGAGAGCTCAGCCCAGCACTGCAATGTCACCCACACAGCCCACATGTGAGCACAGCCCAAGCACCCTTTCTTAGGGTGTGTGTGTGTGTGTGTGTGTGTGTGTGTATGTATATATGTAAGTAGCCTGATCCCAGAGAGCAAAACCTCTGCACAGGGCTATCAGAATGGAGGCTGGAAGGAAAATGCACAATGCACATGTGTGCCTATGCACATATGTGTACATGTTTATACAAGCTTGTAAATGGTCATGGATGTGTGGAACAAAAAGTAAGAGAACACATATGAAGCCAGGACTCCTGGTACATATGTGAGATGGACTGCTTGCAGGGCACAGAACCATGAATTATGGTGAACAAAGTATGTCACAGATGTTGACATGTGCAATGCAATTAAGAAAATGCTTACTCCGAGTTGAACTCAATTGTTTTAAGGAAAGTAAAAAGCAGCCGCTGTGAGGTGAGGTGGAAGGCCTTCGGCATTCACATCTGGTCTCTTGTTTCTGCATTTCACCCTTGCCCTTGTCTAATTCAAATTCTTAGGCACCTTTGTCTGGTAATTTCCTAAGCACAATTTTAAAAGACACTGGAGAGTGCATAAAGTCTGGGGTGTTCTTAGGCTATCGGGGAGATGCAAGAGAGTGTCCCCACACCTAGGATGGGTTGCAGAATGCAGAGCCTGCAGGAAGAATATTCTGTTTAAGGCTGAAGGATGGAGGTAAGAAAAAAAAAATAAAAAACAGAAAACATGAAAATGCAAAGGACTGTGACAAAACAAGAGAAAATGGTTATGCTCTCAGAACGCCCTTCACCGGGTCAGTCTCCAGAAACACCAAGAAACACAGAGGCACAGAGGAGAATCACAAGGTACTAAAACATTCAGCCAGAACGCTTGCCAGCATTTAAAGTGGCCAAAAATGCTTAAACTAAAAAGCGAAAGCTTTAACAGCATACTTAAAAATCAGAAGGTATATCAACAAATGAGTAAGAGCCATAGAAACAACTATGAAAATACTTCAGTGCAAAGGCAATTTTAAGATCCCTAAAAAAATACATTACAAATAATTTGTTAACTAAACATACAGAGAACCTGCCCCTCCCTGCAGGTATTATGTTTGTACCCACTTTGGGTTCTTAGAAAGGGCTGTAAAAATGCACACACCACTATTTAAGGGCTCATGTGGACTGGGGCTCCAACCCTGGGCTGACACATGGCAATGCAGGTGGGTGAATGGGCATGAGGGTGTGCAGCCAGGGACAGCCCTTAGTGGAGCTGTACATTCTTCTGTCTGTCCACAGCTCAAGGCCATCCCCCCATCTTTGGTGTGGTGTTTTATGTTCATTCGACCTCCCCCAGCTGCCAGGCCCAATAAATAGTTGCTCCTACTGTTGGCTGGTCCCCAGTTCGAGCACACTGTTTATAGGGAAACCTTGGGTAATCATGTTACGAAATTTGTGCTTGGCAGGTTATGGGCTCCCAAGTGTCTTCGACCCTCACTATGACCCCACCATGTGACCCCACAGGGATGGGGATGGCTTTCTCCCATGCTCTGGCTGGCACTTTCTGAAATGTCTTCACTATGTTAGGCCCATCACAGCTCTGTCAGATGCTCCACCAGAAACACAAATGCCAGTGCGGCAAGCAACAGGGATTCACAGTAGGTGGCCTTCTGACGGCCTGTCCACTCCAAGTAAAGCCCTGGGTGGAATTTGTGTGGCACCAGCGGGAGGCAGGCTGAGCAGCAGACTGGAACGGATGAGTCCATGTCAGCCCCAGGCAGCTCTGGGTCATGGGACTCACCTCTGGGTGAGACAAATACCTGCCTGGGTGCCCCAAGTCTCTACCTTTCCCAGCACCTCCGAAACAAATGGTTTCCAATAAGGTAAACTGACATCATTCTGGGATGTGGTAGATATCGCTACACTCCTGAGACCTGGTTAACAGTGTGCCTTATTCATATACATAAATGGCATCTTCCACAGGCAGCCGGTGGCAGGAAGGCGACCCTGACACCTTCGAAAGCTCCTTTGTGCAGGGTCAGCATCTCCTCAGCAAACAGACTCAGACATGATCTAGGGAAATGGCTTGTGAGGGGACAGTGAATGTGAGCACAGCAAGGCCACAGTCCAGGAGTCTCACACCCTAACAGGAAGTGTGGATGGTTTACACAGGAAACACGTGGTCAGGAACATCAGGATGCAACATGAGCCCAGCCCATGTGCGAGATGGACAAGGCTGCAGACAAAGGGATAGGGTCTTCTCCTCAGGTGACGGCAGAGGATGACAACAGCAGAAGGCTGGATACTCAGGCCTGGCAAGGCCAGCTTCACAGCTGCAGTGTTTCAGATGAAGCTTATCACATGTCCTTTTCCACAGCAATAGTCCGTATGGTCACCGGGCCTAGGACAACGACGGCCGTCACACACAGTCCAGTGTGCTGTGCCTGAGTGGGCCACCCGTGTTCCCACTGCCACCTCCTTGAGGATGAGGGGCGGGGCAGGTACAGGCACACAGGCACCCAGAAACATAGCTCTCAGAGGCTGACACAGAAGGCTGTCTGTCCATCAAGCGGTGTCTTCAGGCTGGACCTACAGCACCCACACCTCGTGTTGTGGGAAAGGTCTGGGTTGGGGGGAGCACGGTGCACTCTTGGCTCTCCCACTGAGCACACTGCTTTCCCACAGCTGGAGCTGCATCGGGCAGCCAAGGGTCTGGTGCCCTGAGCACCCCAGCTCTGCAAATAGGCCAGAGGGGTGAATTCTGAAACGCTGTCCCGAAGTTGTATGTTCTGCCAAAAGAACAGAAGGCCCATCATCAGTCAGAGAGCCACTCTAGGATCCCCTAACAGCCGATGTACCTGTAGCTTGACCAGCCTACCTCAGACCACTAGGTTACCCTGAGAGGCTGGAGAGAGGGCCCATCCCATGCAAACTGTGCCTCAAGGCAATTTGTCTTCAGGTCTGGGAACAAACACCCTCTGTTAAGTGCCGACAGAGGGGCCATCCTGCACGCCAGGGACAAAATAGGAGGGCAGGGGCAGGGTGGGGGGGGGGCAAAGGGCTGAACACACTGAGTTTCTTCCAGACATCCACCCTTGAACTAGGGTGCTAGCCATCATCCCAGAAGAAGAGAGGACTCACCTGTGTAGTTTACTATGTCCTAGCCTGACAGGGACTAGGGTCGATACCGTGCTGACAACATCAAGCTATCATGCCTTCAGCCTACAGAAGTGGCTGGTACTGCCTCTGTGACATGCCACAGCACACACTAACAGCAGCAGGCAGCCAGGAGAGAGGGGCAAGAGGCTGCACAGCGCAGATCTCTCTCCTGGGTGACAATCCCCAGATTACACTACTTTCAGGTGAGCAATATGACTATAGTTGGGTGCTCTGCTAACAGTTTCAGCTGGATACTGGCTGGGCTCATGTCCAGTGTAGCTGTGAGACCTTACTTCTGATTTCAAGACAGGATCATCCCAAGTAGCTTTTAAGTGAAGCTGTGTTTAACCTAAGGACAGGAGGCAATTGACTGTCAGGCAACACTGGGCGCAGCACATTGGTCACATGTCACTTGTATGTGTATACACACGTGTATATAACATTTCCCCTGTGCTTAGCTCACTCTCAGGTGTGCTACTTACCTCGTGTGTGTGTGTGTGTGTGTGTGTGTGTGTGTGTGTGTGTGTGTAAGTAAAAATGGTATAGTTTGCTTTTAGAAGAAATCACTCATTAAAAGGGGGAGGGGGGTAACACACCAAAACTTTGGAGGAAAAGCAGACAGTCTGAGAGTCACAGCACACTGGCCTAGGGCCCAGTAGGCAGCCATACTGTTACCTAGCGCTGAGCTAGACACGTCTTGGCTGCGGTAAGAACTCCTTCAGCAGGGGCCTGTCGCTGTTCGAAGTGGCATCCGCCAATGTTTTGAGTCGGGCGTTCTTCTGCAAGGGCGAGGAAAGACACTGAGCTGCTGCTGATTGCATGGAAGGCAGCGTAGGAGGCCAGTACCTGTGCCCTGGCCACTGCAGACCCAGGGCACCGTCTGCCCTGACCTATGCCATCCCCACACTCTGAACCACGGCAGACCATGAGCTCTGCTTGCAGGGTCTGCACATTATCAGTTGTGACACCATCAAGGCGGCCAGAGCTGGCTGCTGGGGCCGCCTGTCCACAAAGCTTCCTCTAGGGGGACAGATGGCTCTGAACAGGTTCATTCGTAGGAGTCTGCACCCGGAGAAGAAGTGGCAGGGCCAAAGGGCAAGTCGCAACACCATGGGAGAGGGCCGCCAGATGGAAGCTCCTAACAAGTTCCTGCTCCCAACAGAGGTTGAGTCCAGAATCGTAACGCTCTGCATCCTGCCACGGGCACCTGTGTGCCTCCTCCTCTGCAGAGCCACTGATGTGGAGCAGTGGTTTTCACACAACCTGCCTGGCAGATAGGATATTCACAGGTCATGTCCTGAAGGCTGCTGGTTCCTGGCCTGGCATGATGCAGCTTTTAAGTACTTTCCAGTCCTCATTCACCAGTTTCTCAGTACCGAGGAGGGAGGGAGCTTTCAGAGTTGAAGGGATACAAGGCTGGACGGCAGAAGAGCAGATGGAACTGGCAAGTGTCCAGCAGGAGAAGTAGCCAGAGGATGGCGCTGTTGCCCACATAGGCACAGGGATTGGCAGGCAGGCTGCTGCAAGTGTGTGGACGTAGAGACTTGTGCGAAGACACGCACAATGTTATATATACAAGCTTGATATATAACATGCCCAGTGTCCGTCACGCTTGCCTTGTACTAGGAACAGGTTGAAAATGAGCCCCAGATGTCTCAAGTCCAATTGGCCCTACTGAGGCCTGTGAAAGGGTTATTCCTCCAAAGCTTTGCATAGTCTGTGGTGTGTGAAGTGCAGTGGCAGGGCCTGTGTGCAGGTGTGGCCCTTCTATGCTGCCTGGGGGCCACAGGAGACAGGACCACAGTGCCACCTCCCCAGCAGCCGAAGTCTACTAAGCTTCATCAACAGGGAACAGTGTTTGCAGCCTGAGTTGCCATATGTAACATTTTACAAAGTCCCTGTGACATTTTAGTCTTTCTAAAAATTCCCTCCAAAATGTTGTCAAGGGTGTAAACAGCAGCTGGAATGATGTCATTTATTCTAACAGGTTGTATGACACTAAGAAACATTTTGGATGCCACTGTTTGGAAATGTACCATCCTGCTAACCATAGTGTTTAAGATGTGTAGGTGACTGCTTTCTTTGCTTTGGGTGTCTCTCAGGCATAAGCCCTGGTGGCGCAGGAACCCCTAGCAGCTAACCCTTCGAATCTCACTAATGAAGTACACTCAGCTGTCATATTTGGGCACAGGACAATTCAGTCAGAACGCCACAGCACTATGTGATGTGGCAGACTCCTTCTGACTTCTGGGCTGTGAGGAGCAGGTACTGGCCACAGTAGCCACCTAGGAGAATGGCCCTGGCAAGAAGCTCTGTGCTGCCACAGTGACCATCAACCGCAGCACAGCACAGGGTTTCTAAAATCAGGTTTTTATTTTGAAAAGTAGAAGAGGGATCTGGTAAGTAGAGGCCAGCGACAGTGTGACTCCACCCCAGGATGTGCTCGGGGGTTCTTGAGCAGAATAATCTCTCCTGGCCTTCCTCAGTTTCCACATTAAAGAGTGGGACCTAGGGAGGTGGGTGTGTTGGTTGTGGAGAACAGGGTCATGCTGTAGTCACCTTGCTAAGAGGCTGGACTGACTGTGTGTGTGACCTGCCTAATTGTCAGATGCTTGGGGGCAAAGCCACTGCTGTCAGGCAATGGTGAATGCTTTGGACCCCCTGATGGACATGGAGAGCTGCCATGAGCCTCTGTTGGAGGAAGACAGAGCCCATCATTAGTGTACTACTCGTGGGTGATGCATTGTCACAGTGTTACCTGACCAGGTAATGGTGCTGAATGACAATACCAGGGAGTGTCCTGGGTGAACTCAACTCGTAAGTTCTTCCCACCTGGTCCTGTGGCCATCACCCCAGCATGCAAGAAGGCAGAGATGGTCACCTGTTGGTCAGAAACTCAGACCACTGGCGGTCTGGGAAAGCATAAAGACGGTGGGCTGCTCAACAGAAAGGCACTTGTTCCTGGCCTGCAGGCCGCAGTCCGGAGCCCACGCGCGCGGAGTGTTTGAACAAGTAGTGGTTATTTAGGCAAAGCAGTGGAGGATGAGGGGGGCAGGAGAGAGAGACAAGAGGTAAGTTGGTTATAGGCAAACATCCTAGCACACAGTAACACCACTGCCCTAGCTGCAGGGCGCTGCCAGGCCAGGACCCACCACCCCACTCCTCCTTCCCCAGGCCCACACCTGCTCCCTCCTAGCTCTATGCCTCCTGTGCTGCAACTGGGGACAATTTGTAGTAAAGATGCTTCTTTGGGCCTCAGATGCCACAACATCACTGGGGACTTCTCTCTGATGAAGGGGACGGGAAAGCTCCTCAGCCCTTTCCCACCCACCTTCTAAGGTCATTTCAGAAGATTCTTGCGATGCAGTGTCCCACAGTAGAAGCCACAAACATACCACAGCAAATCTCAGGAGTCCTGTAGGGGGCGCCCTTGCCACCCTGCAGAGCTGAACTCTGCTCAAATGTGTCTAGTCAACACAGAACAGTCTGTCTACATGTGGACATCAGGAACAATGTGTTATTTTGACTGTAGCTATGCTATAGCTTGGGGACCCTGGAGACATCCTGAGCTGTGCTTTTCTCTTGGGGTCAGAACTCTGCATAGTGCTGTCATGAGCATGTGCTCCCCCATCCCCAAGCGCAGGGAATGGTCATGGGCAGTGCATGAGTGTCCATTCTGTCCTTACACATGGGGTGTTGTCATGAACACAGCACCTCTGCACAAGTTATCCTAAAGAACACACTCATCCAGTGTCCCTGGTATTGTGAACACAATGTCCACTGTGGCCCTGGGCACAGGGCATCTTTGTGATCTTGTGTCCTCTGTGTCTCTGTGTCAGGAAGCTGATGTCTACTGTGTCCCTGAACATAGTGATGTCAGGAAAATGCACGTGTGCCTTGGAGCTCTTCTTCTGAAGAGCAAAGACTTCAGTTTAGGCCTGCGTGAAAGACAGTGTTCGACAGCTTTCCAGTTCCCCACAGGCTGAACAATGAAGAGCATTTTCCTGGAAAGCAGAGCAACTCCATGACAGCTCCAGGACCAACTGTGCATGCGTGCATGCGCACACATGCCCAGGGGAAGAGGGGTGTCTCAGTGGCAGGTAGATAATCTTTCCTGTTGTGTCTCATGCTATGAGATGAGAGGGCCCCAGCCCTAGAGTTAGCCCTGCCTGGAATAACTTTTAGGAAGCACTAATTTGGGACTGCTCCTAGCAGCACTGAGTGAACATGTCCATGCGCATGATCAGAGGCACAGGTGAGTTGTAACAACAGATTTTATAACTGAGGCAGGAGCATACAGCAGGGGACAACTGGTGGCACCAAGTCCTGAGAGGGTTAACCAACCTTCTAGCCCCTGGGTAGGGATATCTACTTCCCATCCCAAACATGGCCAGCTGGCTCCACCCTAGACTCAGGTTCCACATGTGGGTATAGGCAGAGTCAGGTGATGCAGAACCTATGACCCCCACCCTGGCTCCTTACTGGCTCTCTTCTCTGCAGGAGCTGTGTAGCTCTGTCTTTCCATGTACACAGGTCATGTGTTGTCAGGCTGCACACAAGTTACAGGGAAGCTGCTGAAAATGCAGATCCCACAGCCCTACCTCACCTGGAGATGAAGACTTCCGTGGGTGGGGGCTGGAGAAGTGGCTCAGTGGTGAAAGAGCACTGACTGCTCTTCCAAGGACCAGGGTTCGATTCCTAGCACCCACATGGCAGCTCACAAGTATCTCTAACTCCTGTTCCAAGGGATCCAAAGCCCTCATACAGACATTCATGCAGACAATACATCATAAATAAATAAATAATTTAAGAAAAGACTTCCATGGGTAAAGTTGAAAGTCTGTGTCTTAGGGAATCCCCAGGCAACCCCGGTGGCAGGGTCCTGTTGAGGATTCAGTGTGCTGGCTAGTTTGGGAGGTACGAAACAGAGTCACCCCTTTTCCCAGGCCACACATCCTCTTGTAAAGGTGATTTTGCACCAAAATCAAATCCAACATCCTTAAAAGTAATGTAACAATCTTTTTTTTTTTCCTCCTTCAAAGTTAGGAAATTAACTCAGGGCTTTGTAACATGCTAAGTAGTTGCCATATCACCGGATACTAGCCCAGCCCAAATTCAATGATCAAAGTAACAATTAACTACATTTTTTGTGGATTTATAGAAAATAATTTTTCCTATTAATCTTTGTTCTCATTTCTTTTTCTTTTCAGTTGATTGCTTAGGTCTAAAGATTCAATTAAACATTGCTCATCTTGAGATTTACCTAATTAATGTAACACTTACAACATGTGTCATTGTAGAATTAATTGGCAATGTGTGAGCTGGTCAGCTTTATGATGTCTAGACCTTTTCCGCTATCTCTTAGTAACTTCCTGATCAGAAGACAGGGAGAGGAAAGTGGCTAGCCAGGCTAGGCAGCCTCCATACCTGAGTCCTCTCTGTTGCCGTGGGCCACAGCTGCCTGCACAAGACCTTCTTGAGGACATCAGGGAGGAGGCTGACAGTGACAAGCAGTGTGATGCCCAGCCAGGCAGGGCCGCTGGACAGCATGTGTATGAATACATAGTACATCCGCTGATAACTGAGGAATGGCCTGGGTGGGGACAGAAAACATTAGTGAGACGCTGTCTAGCCAGGGGGGACTCTATAGCCTCATGCTGCTTACCACGCCTTCCCCAAAGACACCACCATCAGTGTCTGGGCTCTCAGTTTCTGACCCCCCCCCCCAATGCTGTGAATCTGCTACCTGGAGACTTACAAGGGGGAAAGGGACTACAGACTGTCATCCCAAAGGGAAATGGGGATCCCTGAGCTCCAGCATCTGGGTGCTCTTCACACCAGCAACAGTATTCGCGTGGCACTGTTGGGGAGCATGGCCACCAAATGCTTTGAACAAATGCCTCCCTCCCAAGGAGGCAGAGAGGAACAGGGATGGTTCCTGGTATACTGACAATAGCTTCCTTGGCTCCATGATCCCTGTTTCCACCGAAGACTTGGGAATTACCTTCTACCTTCTGGTACCACAAACAGCCCAGGGATAGAGTAAAGCCACACCTCTAAGGATACACAAACTGCATGCAGACCCAAAGTGATGATCGGGATGCAGTGTGGGGAAGGTGAGGATGCTCAGAGGTGCTGGAGCTTTGGGAAGCTCCCCATTGCTTGCACCGATAACTCAGAGGAGAGGGTGCAGCAGTTATAAGATGCACAGACCCATGGTCCTAGGCCCCCACTGATGCCTCTGCTCCCAAACAGACTTAGGGCCTGCTAGGACCTCCCTCAGTTCTGGCTTTCTGGCTTAGATTAAGGGGGCTGGAGGCCACCCAAAGCTGTTCCTGTCTCTGCAGGGCTCCAGGAGCCCACAAAAGGTCCCTGGCTGAGTGGAGAGAGGAGGCTAGGGTAGTCTTGTCTAAGGCTGTTCCTCCTCAGGGGCTATGATGCAGAATGAGCAAACTTCGCTCTGGCCAGGGTTAGGGCAGGGTCAACTTACCCAAGGAAAGGATGCAGACTCTGTGTGGCTGTCCCTCCCACTAATCTCTAGCCCCAGTGCTCAGGTCACAGGGCTTGCTTTCCCCAGGCCTTTAGCCATGGTGCTACCTCAACTGAAGGGAATACACTGTGTCCTCCAGTCAGGGTTTCATGTGAGGGTCTGCTGGAGTCCTTAGAGAATATAACCACAAAATGGGCCACACTACCAATGGCATCTGTGTCCCCAAAGAACACAGGTGGAAAAGTAAATCTCAGCTCCCATGAATGACATCTCGAGGTGATGAGTATGGGTCCATGTGACACAGCAGGATGAGTGGAGGGAGCTGGTGCTCCCCACACACTCAGGCCATGATACAGCACGAGACCTTCACTAGGTGCTGAGCAGGCTAAGCTGCTGTTGCCATGTTCTGTGTCTCCAGGCACTATGGACTACTTGTCTGCTAGAGCTCCCAAAATGCATTGCGACACCAGGGACATAGTTTCCAATAGGAACCTGCACTCCAGGGCAGGAAGCTGTAGGCTGTGTAGAATGTACATCTGGACCCTCCATGACAGGGGTGTAGAGCAGTTGGGGCCACATGGGGTTTAAGGATTCTTACCAGATAATCCCTCCCCAGAGCAGGGAGAAGACGACGTAGAAGAGCAGTGACCCCCAGATGACAAAGTGGTTTATCCAAGTCCAGTAGTGCGTGTCCAGCGCAAGCTGCAAGAGAAGGAGGTGTCAACAGTAGCTTTGTCCAGTCATGTAGAAAGGAAGGCAAGACTGAAACGCCATGGCAGCGTGCCTGCTAAAGCTTACAATCAAACCACAGCACCCCAAACCCATGCTTCCACAGAAGGAAACAGCTGGGGTGGCCAGTTTCCCAAGTCACCTGGGACCTCTGTTCCTGTGTGTGCACGCACACACGTGTGTGGTGTGTGACCATGAAGCATCTTCCATGCTGACACCCTGCTGCCTGAGAAGATGATTTAACAGCCTGTTTCATACTTTTAAAGACCCAGTGTTATGGGTTCAGGAACTTCCATAATGAGAAGTTCTTTACAGAATCTGACGGGATTTTAAAAATCCGATTTTGGGGGCTGGAGAGATGGCTCAGTGGTTAAGAGCACTATTGAACCCAGCGGACCTGATTCCCAGCACCCACATGTCAGTTCACAACCACCTGTAACTTCAGTCCCAGGGGATCAAAGGGCGCTAGGTACCCATGTGGTATACCCCCACACATCCATGCACTTAAAACAAATAAAAATAAAATAGATCTTTGAAAAAAAATGTCCAAAGTACATGAAATTCAGAGCTGTTTTCATTATATAGAGAATTTCAATTTGCATCCTTTTGTAAGCGCTCAGCTCTTAGTTTCCTTTTGAGAAATTCTGGGCGTTCATACCCTAGGCAATGTACACTTGCTGGATCTGGATACGACCTGGAGAAGATGGCTTGGGATGCCCAGCATGGGGTTGTCAGCATCAGTATGGACCTAGGATTCTAAGAGCTCAGGGAGAGCCGGGGGCAGGCTGGCCATGGCTGGAGCGTGACCACATCACTAACTCACCTTCAGTGTGACAGTGAACACCATCACGGTGAACACCAGTGTCCCGAAGGTCCAGTTCCCAAACATCTGTGGAGATAAGAGTCTGAGTGAGTGCCTGCTGCCCCTCACCTCTCCTCCCTCATCCCAAACACGGATGCTAGAGAGCACAACCATGGCCTCTGTACCTCTTAGCCCAAGGATACGGGGACTACAGCTTCCTGAGCTAGAAAAAGCATGAGATCAGAAGGCCCTAGGCCAGGACAGTGGCCAAGCCTAGCTCAGAAATGACTTGTGTTAGTGTCCTGCTGGCCCTGGCACTGGCCCTGCTGGGCCCTAGCACATGACTGCAGAGGTCCAAGGGTTCAGATTCAGCAGGGAGAGACCTCATGGCTGGAGTCAATAAGCATGGTGCTTTCTCTAGAGGGGATGTCCACCTTACTGCCTATGTCTGTCCTGTCTGTCTCAAGAACAAACTCAGGGAACCTGCTTCTGATGCCCACGGGTGAGGGGCACAGCCCCTATCACACTGCAGGAGACAGTCAGAGGAGACACCAGGACACAGAGGTGACAGCATCAGGGAGGGCTTCTCTGTGAAGACCTCAGGACAAGAAGGAGGTGGGCAGGTGGCACACACTGGACAAAAGCTACTCCTCCAACAGCCAGACCCCAGGCCGCAGCCATGGCTGCTAACAGCTAACCAGTGAGGAGGGAAGACCAGGCAGATGTGGGCTGCCCTCCTTCTAGTTGGAATGCAGGCAGGACGGCAGGAGGTACAGACATGAGTCATGCTCTAAGAACCAACACATTTCTCAACTACAGACAGACACACGTGAGGTCAGTGGCTGGCAGGCCTTTCTCTCAGGAGAGCCGGTCTGCACAAGGCTTCTGTAAGAACGGCTCCCTACACAACACATGTGGTGGACACTCCTGGGTTCTGTGAACTGGGCCTCTCAGACAATATTCTTAGAACTTACTTAAAGTTTTACTTCACAAAGAATCAAAAGGCTAGGAAGCCTGTCTTTTCATCTGTGCTTAGTTTTCAATAAAAGAAACCATACTGAGGCTAGATTTCTGTGAACTCATGGCCCACAGGATGCTGGGAATCAGTGGAAGGGGAACTGGGAACGCTCTAGAACAGAAGCATCAGGATTCTGTGGAAACACTGACTGCTTACGGATGCCACCACAGCCTGCTCTCTATCCTGCTAGAGACATGCCCTCCTCCTCAGGCCTGGAGACCCATGCCCTATTCTCCATAGGCTAGAGAAATGCCTTCCCCCTCGGGCTTGGAACAGCCACCAATAGAAGCCCTCAGATCTGCATGTGGGGGGCTTCTAGCCATGGGCTACTTGGTCACACCACAGTGGGTACTGCTACAACTAGCAGGGAGAAACCAGAGATGCTGCAAGGTATTCAGGATAGGTCCCTGGGGTGTTAGCTTTCAACACCAATGCCCAGAGTTATTGACTGATGGGAGAGTGGCACAGCACTCTGACACGTGTTTACCTCTAGGGCAAGAATGTTTTTACAACTCAGGGGCAGCAGACTGGCAGTGGCCCACGGAGGTATTCACCTAACAGGATGTTGCAGTGAGCGGTTGGTGTAATGGAAAGCGATAGGTTTTGGCCAAACGGTGACGTGCAGTGAGGGAGGGGAAGCTTTGCCCTGCAGAGGCTACATTTGGAAGAAGGTGTCCTACTGCCTCCACCCGAGCTCTTTTGTGCCGTTGGCTATCACAGAATGAATTAAAAAAAAAAAAAATAGAGGACAGCATGACACAGTGTATGTAAGCAATGCCACATGTGGATCCCAGTAGCACATGCCAGGCCAAAGTAAACTCAGCAGCTTGCTCTTCCCACACCTGTTATGGGGAGGAAAGTATGCCTCCTTCGCTGCCAGGTCTCTTCAGGTTTGATGGGTTATGGCAGACCTGGGTCCTATAGGACACACAGTCACCACCATCATTTTCATAGGTAGATGAGACATAATCATCTCAAGTGAGAAACTGGAGAGAAGCCTAAGAAATGTGGTCATCTACCTCCCTGTGCCCATGGCTCTTGGCCAGCTCGCTGGGATGGATAGATGGCCACAAAACTGTTTCTGTATAATCTTCCTCATTTGTTTCCAGTATCTTACAGATTCTCTAAGGATCTATTGGGGAGGGAACACCAGCCTCTTGGCCAAATGGTCACCTTTACACAGGCTCCAGGGAGGCCCCGGGTTCTGACTTCCTCAGGACCCGAAAGCGCACACCTCCACTGATGTCCAGCTGATTCACAGCTCCAGAGTAAACCAACACCGATGGTATGATTGCCTCAGACCTTAACAACACATCTCCACTGATGGTTCACATCTCAACAATATCCTTAAACGGATGGTCTGAACCATTAACCCCTTAGTGATCTAGCTTCACTGTTGGACTGACTGATACATACCTCAGCAATATACCTCCGTCTGTGGTCTGACTGACAGTCCTGACCCTGTAGGAATGCCTGGGCCAGTCCCACCTGTCTGCCTACTGTCAGCTTAGTCCTGTCTCCTTGATTCTTCCTTTTTCCCCGAGGACGGGCACTCTCAAGGTGTTTTCTGGTCACCAAAGCCTTTTAAGTCAATTTAATTTTTATATGCAGTAATATTCTATAACAGACATGGCTTTTGCTTAAGGTCATGGTCGTGACACCTCTGAACCCCTTGGGCCAACTCCACATCCCATCTGTCAGCTGTGTGCTGGGCTCGCTCCCCACGGACAGCTATCTCAGCTGCCCTTTAGGTGTGCCCTAACTACTGGAACATTCCAACTTTAAGATCAGGCTAGGAACAACCCAGGGGTCAGTGAGGGTTGCCTCCCTACCATCGAGAAAATGATATATTTATGGTTTTTGATGTCAGTGCAAAAATGATCCATAAGCAAATTAGGAAATTACTCATAACTCTGCTATTCTCACACTACATGTGACCGATGAATGTTCCCATGGAATGTCATGGAATGTTGAAGACCTTTCCAGAAAGGTCTTTAAAGGCAACAGAATGAACTTTTCTAAACCAAAGAATCTAGAAAATGTATCCTGGATCCATGAGGAGCATCAAACATTATGATTGCTAAACTCTAAACCCAGAGCAAGGAGGGTCACTGTCTAGTCGCCCCTGCACCCAACTCCTGCAAATCTAATATTCTCACATCACCAAACACCAGCTTAACTCAGGCTGAGAAGGGCTATCTAGAGGTCTGGGACAGGGTGGAGGGAGAAGATGGTGTACATGACTGGAAACCAGACCTTTGCCTCCCCGGCCTGTGGAGTGGCTTCCGCCATCCCAATTCCGCATTCCCACCTCACAGATGAGTGTCAGTGTCTTTCTTGAAATACTCACCAGGGGATGTCTGGTCTCCTGTCTCCTCACCCTGATCAGAGCACACTCCCCTATTACGCCTGACTTGAATATACATCTTGTCAATTAGTGTCGCCTGTCCTGATGAGCACTGGTTTGGGTCCACCCTGCCAGCTTCCTTGCGGAATTCTCTTGTGTTAAGATATGTATCACACATGCTAAACCTCTGCTGACAGCTGGAGTGTATGGAAAGATGCTTCTTGACCCTGCAAAACCGTTCTAGTGGCACAGCCGTATAGGAGGCTCAAGTGAGCCCATGTCTGCCTGCGACACTTGCTTCCTAGTCACATTTATAGTTCTAATGAACATTATTAACAATGGCTAATGGCAGACTGTGGATGACAGGTAGGGACATTTGCAGGACCACCAAGAAGCAACTTTCCAGTAGCTCACACAAGCCCTAATGAAACCAAAAGGACCGTGAGGAGTTTAGGCAAAGGAATACAGGAATCCTGAGCTCCCACAATGGCAGCAGAGATGCCACCATACACACCAGCCAGCATGGTGTCTCTGGCAAGGGTTGGGAAGTGAGCTCACTGCTGCAGTCTTTCTAAACAGACAGCCACCCTAGCACTCCACCTCCAGGGCAACCCTGGAGAATGCCTGTCATTGTACTCTGAAACTCTGAGACAGCGTGGGTCCAGGTGGATGTCACATGCTGGCACAGGTCAGGATTTGGGTTCTGCTTTGCCTCTCACCATCATTGGCCCCACACTGGTTTCCCAGCCTGTATATGCTCCTTCCTCAACCTCCCACGCCAGCGACTACCAGATGAATGGTCTTTGAGTGGGAGGTAAGATGTGGTTTGAGAGTGAAGAGGAAGCAGGATGCTGATGTCGAGAGGCTCTCAAAGGCTGACTCATGGGACACAGTGTCCAAGTCACCTACGACTCAGACAACCACTCTGTCACCATGTTTATGGACTGGTGGCTTACAGGCATTGTTTGATTAAAATAAAAGACAACAGTAAGCTACTGAAAAGCTTACAATCCTTAGAACAGTGAGATGAACTTTAGCAAATCTTCAGGGTCAAATTCAGTAAACCCTGGCTTATGTTCTAACATGAGCGAACCTTCAGTTAGGAGGCAACAGAAACATATACACGATTAAACAAATGGCTGACACAGGCCAGACGACACCTGGCATTTCAACCTAACAGTCTGAGGGATCAACACGGAGAAGACAACAGGGGGAAGAGGGGAGTTGGTTAAACGAGAAATGGAAAGCATTTCTGTCTTCAAGCTCCCCCAAGGGAGGAGTTTTCTCTGATGTCGATTGCAGTGTTTGTTTGAACAGCCATCTCCAAACCTGTGAACTCAACTGGGCTTAACACCAAGCTCAGTAGATGGGTACTTGTGTCTAGACTGAAGGTCTACTCCATGCCTCTTGTTCTCTCCAGGTGGTGCAGATATGCCACCAAAGCAAGGTCCCCACCAAGCCTCCTGTCCTTAATTTATAGCAACATGCAGTCCTATGGGGTCCGTTTAATAACTCCCTTCCACCAAAGCCATGACAGACACCCGGGGAGAAGACACTTTGCAGGGTCAGGTGGCTCTGATGGCAGTAGAGGGCAGGAATGGCTAATAGCTCATCTACCAACAAAGCACACAGAAGAAGTCACATTTGAAAATATTTTCAAGAAATATTTTATTTGTAATGCACTCCAAAAACACAGAGAGGACAAACCCACGATGTCTTACCATGCTTGTGTTGGTGGTCACTATCTGAGGTGGGAAGGGAAGCAAGTGGCAAAAAGAAAAAAGCAAGATACGAATAAAACAAACCCCAGAAAGTAGGCAAACAACAAGCTGCTGTCCACTAGAGCACTGCAGAGCTACTCACTGTAAGGGGCCATGCTAGCACACCGTGGAGTGACACTCACACAACTTAACTCCCATAGGAGAACAGTGGCTGGCTGGAACCATGGAGCCACTGGGACTAGCTCATGGTGGGATACACGTTGAGAACCTGCCAGGAAAACCTGCAGACCAACCTTCCCCCAGAGCTGGTGAATGTGATGCAGCCCTTCCTCTAAGTTGCTCCATAGACCCACACCTCTTGGTGCTCCCTAGCCACAGGCCGAGCTGTCCTCACACAACTTCTCTACACAGTGACTGCACAGGGTGAGCTTGCTACTAAGCAGTAAAGTCACAAGACGTACAGTACTGACCTGTCCGTTGCTGGTCACGGTTGTGTTTTCGAACATGAAATAAGCACCAAAGAAAAATACCAAAGCGTCAAATACGCCGAGAAACGTCCAGTAAATGAACACCCGCCAGCGGAGCAACGCGTTCTTGGCAATGTCTCTGTTTGAGGAAAAGCGTGGGAAAACCGTGACCACTGGGCATATACATCTCTGTCCACATGTTCCTAAACAGCATCAACTGTGACTGATAAACATGGCCAAATACACATGTTTTTCAGACTTCACACTGGGCTATTCACCAGTATTCTCCATTAGCGTTTGAGTATTTTCTCTCCTGTATTCAACTGTAATGTTGTTAAAGGAAACCCAGTGCACTCTTGCCTTCTGAATGGAATTAACACACAGCACACATACTATCTGACATACTGATTAGCAGACTGAGGACTTGGGCATGTTACCAGTCCACGTGAGTTTCTAGGCCTGTTCCTTGCACTGGAGTTTTGTCTGTAGCACTCCCTCTGTGCATATGTCTGAAACAGTGGACATGTATGTGCATGCATGTGCAGACTTTCTCTCTTTCTCTTTTTCTCTATCTCTCTCTCTCTCCCCCCCATCTCTTTCTCAAGCTTCAAGGTCTCATAAATGGCTAAAAATTGTAATAAAGGCCTCAAAGCCTGTGAAATGGGGTTCTGTGGAACTGGACAGGGGAAGGTTGTCTGATGTTATGTGACTTCTGAAACTACACATGTGAAAACACCTCACAGAAAGTAACCACACACATGTGTGTACAAGCATGAATATGACAAAAGACCCTGGGAAATCTGAATGAGGTAGGTGAGGGATGACAATGTAGCCACTGGTTGGCTGCTACACTGCAGTATCTAACTCATTATTACTGGGAGGAAACTGAACAAGAGCATGGGAATCTCCTTTTTATATTTTAGGATGGAAAAAGACTACAAAGAAACATTGTATCTGTCAGAAAATCTGGGCAGTTCTGATAGTATAAAAGCTAAGACTTTGTCAGGCACTGGTGGTGTACACCTTTAATCCCAGCACATTGGAGGCAGAGGCAGGCAGATCTCTGTGAGTTTGAGGCCAGCCTAGGCTACAGAGCTAGTTCCAGGACAGGTTGCAAAGTAATACAGAGAAACCCTGTCTGGAAAAACCAACCAACCAACCAACCAACCAACCAACCAACCAACCAACCAACCAACCAACCAACCAACCCCCCCCCCGCCCATCCACCCCCAAAAGGAAGAACAAACAAAAAGCTATGGCCTTAATACTAAGACATGAATTCACTGGGGCCAAGCAGAGGAAGGAAGTTTCCACTCCTAGCTTTCCAAACTCTACCAAGTTTGGAATGCAGAGGGGGTTCACGTGTACGTTCAGGCCCAGTGTAGACCCCATCACCTGTGGAGCATAGTCCAGGGCACCACCTGGTTGTTTAAACACCATACTGTGGAAGCAAGTGCACCCAGCTTTGAAACAATGCCACCAGGAGCTGCCTGGAGGATGTGTACTGCCTTCCACTGTCCCTGTACTCCAGAGCACAGGGCAGGGGCACGCACCTGTACAGGGATGGGTCTCTCTTGAGCACTTCCATGCCCACGTGCTGCTCCATGAGGCTGTACAGGAGAATTGGGAGGGAGGTGAAGCTGATGTTGTAGAGGGTCAGATACGCAGTATCATACAAAGTCTGCAAGAAGGAGAAACGTTCTGAGTGGTGCTCCGAAGTGGCTTTAACGGACTGATGTTATGATTTAGCACATGCCTGTGTGTGGGCCTGTATGCGTGCATGTGTGCATGTATTCAAGTGTGTGTGTATAAGGCAGGGATCAGCATCAGGTGAGTTGGAGAGCACTGATTCAGCTAGAGTGGTTAGCCAGTGTGCCCCAGGGATCCTCCTGCCTCTATCTCCTTATCGCTGGCTTCCTATGCTGCTATACCCAGCTTGGTATAGTTGTTTAGGATTTGAACTTGGGTCCTCATTTTTTTACAGCAAGAACTTTACCAACTGAGCCATTTCCTTAGGCCCTGAGTAAAGACGCTTAAAGATACAGGAAGTGCACCTAAAATACACAAAAGCCACCATTCTGCAGACAGACAACTGGGACAGATTTCAAACTTCATGAAGAAAATTCATCAGGTTTAAAATTTATCAGGTCCAGGCAGAGCCTGGACCCAAAATTTTGCAATTCTGTTCAGTTTCATGTTTTCTCGCTTCAGTTAGCCTAGCCTGGTGGCTCCTGATACAAGCTCTTGGCCAGTGTCCATCTGAGTACATGGTGCAGTGTGTGGTGACAGAAAAGTGTCTCCCAGGCCACATGTGCCTCATCCTGCACACTTCAAGGCCCCAGACTCCAAGATGACCCCCATATCCATGGAGGTTCAGGTGTGGGTGTAGCCTACCAATGTCATCACACATCCAACCCAAAGGCTCTCTGGCTATGCCATTAGAGGCTTGTGTTTAGGAGCATGTCAGCCTCCTGACATGGCAACTCCTCACCCCATAGCCTGCCCCTTCACCTTTCTCTGTGACAGGGCCCAGGGACGGCAGGATGGATGCACCTGGGCTCCTACCAGATCTCCACGGGGGTTTGTCTGCATGTCCCTGAGGAGTGTTCCCTCACTGTGGTCACCCGCTGGGAACGAAGACAAGATTATCTATGACGAGCTTTGAATTTATGACATTAGACTGACCTGCTGTGAAAATCCGCAGAAGAACTGGTACAAAAACTGAGGGAAAATGAAGCAGACATTCTGAAAGACAAGTCGCGGCCGTTAGTTCAAGAGCATTCTGCAGAGATACATGGACTTGCCCAGAGCTCACAAAGCCACTATCAACACATGATGTTTCATATGGGGGATCGATCCAAGTGGGCTCAACATCCTACAAGACAGCTGAGTGGGGTTTGGAAATTCTTCTCTTCCCTGTGTGTTAACTGAAATGTACACACCGATAGTGTGGCTCTGGTGATCACAGACAGTGGGTGGGAGACACACAAGAGGGAAGGTGGGTGGTAACAGAGAGCTCAGCACCAAGGACCTGCCTGCATGGAAGAGACTGTTCAAAGGAACAAGAGGCTTGCCCTCAACGTCGCACAACTCTTCCTTCTGGCTCTACGTTAAACTCTGAGAAGGCTTAAGAACTGTCAGAAATCTTGTTACAGGAGCAACTTACTTCCTGATGGTCACTTCTTTTTTGCAGATAAATGGATCTAGAAACATTAAGTCACCTGGTGAAGGGCTCATGCCACTGAAACTGAGAGGAGATCTGCCTACCTTATAAAAGAAGTATTGCACAAGCTCAGATATCCTGATATAATAAAAATGCCCGTGAACAAGAAGCATCTTCTTCAAGTGCTTGAACTTGGGTATTGCATAGTCACTGTTCCTGGCAGCTTGGCGACCCTCCTTCCCGATAACGCCTAGAATGAAGGCAGAATAATGCTGGTAACCAGAGCCAGCTACGCCCAGAGACCACTGCCCAGTGGAGGCCCATGGTCCCCCTGCATGCTATGAAATAGCCTTTATCTACCTAAAGTGCAAACGAAAGTGGAGCAGCAGCAGCTTACCTATGCCCACGTGGGCCTCCAGGATCATGCTGACATCATTTGCACCATCACCAATCGCTAGGGTGATAGGATGCTCCTTTGAAAATTTGATTAGCTTGACAATCTGGAGAAGAAAGAAATGTGGAGTTTATCTTCTCTGTTTGGATTTCCATAGGGTCATTAACTTAGCAGAACCAACAGAGGCAGCAAGCTGGTGTACATCAGAGGGAAACTGTCTGCTTACAGCTCATTTACAGCTCTCAGGCTATTTCCTCCACAGAGCATCAAATCATTTCATAAAAACTAAGACATGATCAATGATAAAGGCAGGGAGAAAAGTTAGAGTAATGTTCAGTTATTGGAAAAGCCAGGGTCAATGCCAGCACTGTAGTCTGCAAGAAGGTGCTGCAACTCCATGTTACTTAGTATCAAAAAATTAAAAAAAAAAGGAACTGTTTTGATTTTCAAACCTGCCTGCCATGTTTAAAAATCAAATATGTCAACTCACTGCAATAAGTATTCTTCATGATTTCTCTTCCTTAATTTCCAAGTTGATTTCTTTCTAGACCTCCCCACATGCCCTGTGCTTATGTACAGTTCACTTCCCCATGCCTTGTACATAATGCACTTCCCCCATGCACCAGTGAATAATACATTCCTCCATGCACTGTGCTTGAGTACAGTTCACTTCCCCCATGCACCAGTGAATAATACATTCCTCCATGCACTGTGCTTGAGTACAGTTCACTTCCCCCATGCACCAGTGAATAATACATTCCTCCATGCACTGTGCTTGAGTACAGTTCACTTCCCCCATGCACTGTGCTTGAATATGAGACTGAGATGAAGGGAAACTACAGATTGCTTTTTTTTGTTTCAAGACAAGAAATGGACGCATATTATACATTTGAAAAAAATCAATTGAGAACCCAAAAATAGCACTGGAAATCCCAGGCTGTGATCAGGGAACAGGGAAACAATTACAGGATGTTTTCATGGAGTCAAACACAGAAGAAGGTAGCAAAAAAGCCATTGCCTGTTTTCTCTGAGAATTGTCCTGGGGACATTCTGGTTGTGTCTAGTGACAGAGGTTAATTGGGGCATCAAGCTGGCATTCGAAAGAGCACCTCCCTGAAACTGGCTTTCTGCATAATGTACTCCACCTTCATGGCTGGGTCACCTGGGATCGAGGAGGCATTCAGCCCCTGAAGCATGCTAAGTGAAGCTGGATCGCATCCAGGTTTATGGACACTGTAAAGATACCATGTTCATGTATGCATTCCACAATACCTTTGATGTATTTAAAAAGATAATTTGGGTATGTTCTCACAAGAACAGGGAGAGTACAGAGAATTGTCTGGAGTTAAAAGGGGGAAAGTCAAATCCTGACTGCCATGGGCACACAGAAGGTGCTTAGTGGATGCACACCCCAGGGGTAGATTCCCAAGGCACTATAGCACCTCTCTAAGAGGGGCCATCCACACCTGACCCTCAAGGAGAATCTAAGACTCAGGTGTGAAACTTCTACACCTCCCTAATTGTTTAGCAATCAGAGACAGTGAGACTTAAGAAAGGCTTTGTCCCCACGCCAAACACCTATGTCCCATCATAGGAGTAGTTTGTGACCTGTGCCTTCTGTAAGGGCGCCATGCGGCAGCACAGCACGGCACTGCAGTTCCTGCAGATCTCCAGGAAGAGCTCTCTGTAGTTGCCTGAGGAGCTCCCATCCTCTCGGGGCTTCATTATCAAGGACAGCGCAGCTCCATCGATGATCAAGCCATAGTCATGCATATCTGTGGAAAGTCTGTTAGAGCACACAGAAGGGAGAGGTCACTCAGACACGACTCTACAGAGAAGGATACCGTACACTGGATATCTGCATGGTGCCAATCCGTGGGATCAGGACACTTACAGATCTCCTTCCATCATATGATCTTTACAGATTTAGGGCCACCTCTTTGACTACACTGTAAAATCACATTTTAATGAAAACTTTTTGTGGCAGCAGCCACAGCCTCCTGCGAGTTTGTGTGTAAGTCTCATACTGGGACACCAAAGGTGGGCTTGGAAAGGCAGGTCTTCATTTCCGGTCTCCATGCCAGCCTCTTTCTACCTGTATGGCTAATATCTCCTGGGCTTTCTGCCCTGGTGACTTCCTGTTAGAACATGGTCAAAGTCTCCCTTTGCTGGGCTATAAAGATTTACTTTTTATCATTTTACATTGTGTGTAATTTGTGTGTAGGTCTGGGCACACACCCACTGAGACCAGCAGAGTCTGACCTCCCAGGAGCTAGAGTTTCAGGCAGTGGGGAGCTGCTTGATGCCAGTGCTGGGAATTAAACTTGGGCTGTCTGGAAGAGCAGTGCAAGCTCTTAACCACTGAGTTATTTCTGCAGGTCTCTTGGCTAGGCCTTAAAATGACAAAAACGCCCACAACCCCTAACTTTCGCAAGTTAACATGGAGAGATAATTTTATGCTCTTCTTAAAACATCCTAAAATCTGCATGCACCTGGAGGGCTGACTTGCTCTGTCAAACTCGTGTGCTCTAAGCCTGACTACCCAACTTTAACCCCCAGAACCCATAAGGCGGAAGAACAGAGCTTGTCCTCTAATCTCCAAATGTACACTGTGGCACATGCATACCGACATCCACACAAATAAAAACATAGAACAATGAATCTGAGTCAGACTCTGATGAGACTACCTTGGCATGACTCACCCAACACTGGTAAGGGGGGGGGCCCTTGTAAAATGTGTGAATAAACCGGTGTATACTCTTGCAAAGACCCAACCTCAGCAACAGTGCTGTCCCAGACAGACGGCCTCCATTATGTGAACTAGCTTCTGGCTTCTCTGGCAGCATCCCGAGGCGTCCACGATGGACCCAGGAGGCACAACAGCAGATGAAAACTTTACTCTGCCCGTCAGTTTGAAATTTCCTGCCCAGGCACCTCCTATGGAATGGCTTCCATGGTCACCCACATCTAAGTTACCCACAAGAACAACACCAGATGGGCACCAGCAGCCCATAGCGACCCAAGGTCCTACAAGGTGGGAGGAGTCGCCTACCCTGAGAAGGAGTCCCTGGTCAGGCTTCCACTGCAGCGCAGTACTGTCTTGCTGAGCTCGAACAGAACATCGTGCAGGCTCTGCTCCTCTAGCCTTTTGGTGGTCAGCTCCAGCAGCTGGGTACTCCTGCGGAACAGCTTGCAGGCATAGCAGGTGGCTGAGGCCGTCTCCATCTTGTCTCCAGTGAGCACCCAGACCTTGATGCCTGCCTTCTGCAGGGCCTCGATTGTATCAGCAGCTTTCTCCTGGAGCCTGGGAAGGTGGAGCCCAGACAGTGTGGCTTTAGACAGCATCTAAAGGCCACCGAACAAAGCACTTCAAGAAACACAAAGCCAAAAGATATTCAGCTATACTAACAATAGCACATGCAAGTGGCTGAGGTCTACATAAAGGACCAGGACCTGCTCCCAGAGTGCACACCATATGGCAATGATACAAACAGACACAGATGAGTCTTTAGGAAGGCTGTTCTGTGTCATGTCCCTTTGCTGAGCCTCATATCCTTCCACAATTCAATATCATTCCACTTGGGAGAAGACTCATTAAAACCAGAAACAAAGCGGAGAAATGGAATCGGGCAATAAGGTATTATCTTTCCTTTTGGTGCCATGTGTTCTAATGCTGCTACTTACCAAAGTGGAGTCCAGGCTCTAAGTATTATATACGATGCTGGTAATAACAACATTGGCCCCACAGCTAGCTAACATTTATCACTGGCTTAGCATGTGCCAGCACTTTGTGAAAGCTGGTATGACCTTTTACCTCTACATAACCCTGTGAATTCAGACAAGGCCCTAGGAGGACTCTCCTGGCCTGAAGTGTGTGTGGAGAGGCCATTATTATAGCTGCACGAATGAGGAAAGCCACCTCCAATCTCCTCGGTTTTCTGAAACAATAATAAGGGATCAGAGGCCTAGACAGGTAAGTTTACCAATGTACTGGCTCTAGGATTTAAAGAAGTTAACTTGTGATCAAATATTACTTTAACAGGATATCATATACATAACCCTAGGAGGATGCATGTTCTGTGTCACCTGGGCTACACAGTGAAACCCTGTCTAGAAAGAAAATTGTTTTACTGTCATTTATTCCTATGTGCTCCTGGGTGGCAACCTCCACATTCCATGGCCTAACTCCAGCCATGTCAGTCATGTCAGCTGCCCACAGGGGCTTCATGGAAAGCCACTCAAAAGTGCTCTCCCCAAGCAGCCTCCCTTCCTACACCACCACCCACCACCCTCGGCCACTACGATGGTTCCTTCATCTTGTAACTGGGGATTCAGAAGAGTTCTCACAATTTTATCAGCTTTAACTACTGTGTGTGTGTGTGTGTGTGTGTGTGTGTTTTTTTTAAACGATAGTTCACTACCTTCGACAAACAATGACATATATGTCAAAGATATTAAAATCTAAAAAGTCAAGCTATGTTCAGAACAGCCAGCAGCAATTGGGAAAATAACTACTAGTTCCTCTTTAAGGTATGAAATGAAAATGTATCTTCCATGTGTAATGTGATGTGAAGATGTTACTTTCACTATTCAGGCATTCTATGTATGGTCAGTAACATTATCACCCAGCGAGGGTTTCCTGGGTCGTCACTCTATGTGCAGGAAAACAGGTGAACCTTGTCCTCAGGAAGAACACACTGGCACTGCCCATCCCATTCTCACAGCCATCTCTCATTTGTGACTGTGGACACGTGTGCCAACTGCCCTCTACCCCTCTCACAGCCTGTCCCCTTTTGTGACTGCAGATGTGTACTCTCTGTCTACCCCACTCTCACGGCCCGCTCCCATTTGTAAATGAACAGACACTTGTGGCAGCATTACCGGTCTTCGACAGCTGTAGCACCAAGCAGAATCAGGTCCTTCTCGATCTGCTCATAGGCTTCTGCTAACTTCTTCTCCCGATCTTGAAGCGCCACTTTGGCAGCCTGCAGCAGTTTGCAAACATCTTCATATTCTTCTGGCTTGAGCCGCTTGTAGGCAACACACAGGGTTCGCAGCCCCTCCTGTGGATCACAAGTCAGTATTTAATGTGAATCCAGCATCACCTGCTGAATGTATTTTCTCAGGCCTTCCTCAAACCCATCTTTGAAGACCCAGCCACCCTCAAGAGATTACTGAATTACATAAAGTATGGACAATTGTATACATGACAGAACTGTAACATATGATACCTGGACCAGGCCACTACACCCAAACACAGACTTTTTTCTTCATGTAAACAGAGAGTTCAGAAGATAATTTGTAATGTTGGGGTAATGGTGTTTCCAAAGCTGGGAGCTTGTCAGAATTTAACTGTGGTGAATACCAAGGAAGACTGAAGGGGATTCACCCACACACTGGGTTCATGGGAAATGGAAACAGGCCTGAAGGATGTGAGGCTCTGACACACGTGGGGAAGGTTCGATGCAGCTATCAAGGCCACGTGGGCTGCCACTGTGTGTCACTCTTGCCAGGACACACCAAACTGTCCTGGGTGATTGCTCCTGGGGTGGTTCCCTTGGGCGGCTCTTGCCCTTTCACCTTGATTCCATAAACAACAGTGTGACACTCACAGGCACTCACAAGCACTGCAAATTCCAGATTTTAGCTTTTTAAAACCATTTCCTGTAATGTGTGTCATCACTTCTCACAGCTCTTCAGACTTCCTCCTAACTTGTATGGACAGTTCTCATCAACCCTCATAAGGGAGGGAGGGGCACAGGGGCAAAACACTCTGCTTTGATCACGAGTCTGAAGACCCATCAGACAAGGAAGGCTCTAAGGACAATAAAGTGTCCAGGATGGCGCATGCTGTGGGCAGTGAGCAAGGCTTTCAGAAAGGAGGAGGCCTCTGCGTGTGGTGACACAAGGTGGAGGTGCTTTCCCCCAAGCCTCTTGCTAAGCATGAGTAAAGTCCTGTGTGAAATACTAGCAATCTGTACAAGACACACCTGGAGTCCACTATAAAGCGCTGCCTCTTTATAATGCACATAAAGTAGGTGTCGGCAGCACACTAGCAAACTGAATCCAACAGCTACCAAAGGACTGCATGCCATGATTGAGTGGGAGCCAGACTGATCCACATAGGAAATGGGCCAATGAAACGTGATGTTGCCAGGATGAGACCCATGTGAAGATCTGGACTGACGCAGGGAAATATCAGAAATATCCAAAAACCGCAGAAAAAAACACAGAGCTGTCTTCACGGTGGTTCCCCAAGAACTGCTCTAAGATGAGAGGGCAGGGAGTCTCTCACCTTTCAGGGAGTCTCTCACCTTTCCACTTCTGCCGAACAAATTCTGTAAGAGCAACCCAGCACTGGAGGGTGGCCCAAGTAGGGAAGGTGCCTTTCTGAAGACTGCACATGCAGATGGCCAGCTCCACAGCCAGAAAACCATAAAGAGCGTACACCCCTCCTCTCAGGAAACGCCAGAGCTACTACATGAATGCAGCGATAGCACACCTGTGACATGAGCACAGACATGCCAGCTGCACCTGTCTCACATGCTCCCAACACTCACCTTGGGAACATTCCTACCCATAATTACACTAGAAGGAAAACATTCAGGAATGAGTCTGTTCACGGAGGAAAAGACTCACAGACTGAAAACTATGAAACTGGAGAAATCACAGAAGAGTCGATTACAGAAACACGCCTGTTTCCATGGCGTGGAAGAGGCCATGTTCTTAAGACAATAACATTACTCAAAGCCATTGGAGTCTTGTGATCCTATGGAACCCTGGATGGCAATCTCTGCATGAACTCGGAATTTCAGGGTATTCAGAGAGCATAAGGGTTTAGATAAGAATAAAGTTGGGCATGCATATACTTTGTTTCCAAAACTTGCTAGCACATAACAGTAGAAAAAAACTGCAAAACAGTCCAGAACTGGTGTGGAGAGAAAGAGGGGAGGGAAGAGGAAGGGAGGGAGGGAGGGAGGAATCAGAGAGAGAAAGAGAGGAGTAGAATAGAATTGAGACCCAGAAACAAATCCTGGGAACATCTGGCTAGATGATTTAACAAGAGGAACAAGCTCACTCAACAGGGATAAAACAGCCCCTTCAACAATGATGCTCAAAATCAACTCTCAAAAAACAAGACAGACCCCTTTGCCTATCACCACACATAAAATAAGATCGATGTCTTAAACTTAAAAGCGTAATGTATAAAGTTCTTAGAAAAATACAGGATAAAGTCTTCATAATGTTGTATTTGGCAGCAGTTTCTTAATTATGATTCTCAAAACAGGCAACTAAGAAGAAATGGGCCACTGGATTTGAAGGCAACATTGGTCCTGTCTGCACTACCCACGCCATCTTTACTTGTGTAGAGCTTTACTTGTTTAAATCATGTTACAAATGTGGGGCCCGCAGGCCCCTCAGTACACTGCCTGAATAACTCCTGGCTGGGGCGTGGGCTGGAGAGCTCACTTTCCTGCAGCTATAGAATTTTACCAAGAGATATGGTCAAGCTCCTCAGAAGCAGCTTGTTCCTTCATGTTGTCCGGTGGATTTGGAGCAGGGCTCTGCCTGGACCCACAGTTCACACTGGCGCTCAGTCTCAAATGTCCATCCACAGGTGAACAAATGAATAAGCACAAACTGGGTGGCTCAGTGAGAAAAGGGACACCATGCTGTAGTGTACACAGATGTGGATGAAATCACAGAACAGTTGTGAGTGGTGAGCGATGGCAAACAGTGATGCTGATGGGCAAGCTGACAAAGTAGGCAAACGAAGGTCCAAGTATGGACTGTGTCAGTGCTCATTAACACCAAGTGTGTCCAGTGGCTCTCCTGGAGGTGACCCTTGGCAGAAGGGGTCAGAATTCCCAATGTGCCCACTTGAAATGACAGTTAATCCCAGGGCCTCAAGAAGTTTGTTTGTCCTAATAATAAGTTCAGTGTAGCCAGCACATGCCTTCTGTAGCACCAGATGGGGACTTTCTTTGAGGGAATGTGATAGTGCTGTATCTGGAATGTCTATCTAGAACAGACTTTGCAGACCGTGGCAGAAAGCTATCTAATTCAGGCATGGGGTCTCTCTGGCTCCTCAGTCCTGGGAGGCACAGCTGAGAGGATTTGAGCTGCCTCAGCAGGAGGACAGTTATGACATAAGTGGAATGACAATCTCTCGCTACTGGTTGGCAGAAGACAGGAAAGCCAAGGGACCTCTGTCATCACAAAGCACAGTGGCTGAATGAAGAGTCTGTGGGAGGGCATGGGGACAGAACAGGGCAGCATCTTACCACTGCATTGCGCTCGACTCTGGACCGGACCTGGTCCACTTTGCCTTCTATCACTCGGGGAAATATGGAAGAATCTGCTCCTTTGCAAAACAGATAGATTTCTCCTGGAAGATGAGGGGGAACAATGTGGGATTTAATTATTACATGGGGTGACAAACTTACTTTTCAGTTTGTTTTTAATGAGAACAAGTGACACCAGTATGGAAACTATTTTCAATTTTAAGGACCAGTTAACACATTAAGATCTGAAAGAAGTACAACCCATGGAAGATGCCAGAGCCCATTTTATTCCTATAGCTTGGAGCTCGGATAGTCAGGAGCCATGAACAATGAGGGCTCTGGGTGCTCATATGCCCTGGGACTGGGGTTGGGCAGGCAGAGAATACCATAACAGAACAAAGAGTGTGCTGCTGACCTAAAAGGAGTGTTCAAACTTCATGAGATACCAGAAGGCAAGTGTCTAATTCCTCCCCAAAGTGGGTCTTCCTTTTTATCACAAAGCTTCATGGGAAACTGTCTTCTATACCTCTAGTTTTGTCATCAGAACCCGAGCACCTTTGTGCTGGCTCTGCACGCTCCTTTCTCAGCATGAAAGGACTTTCTCCCTCCAGGTGAGAGATACTAACAGAAAGCATAGAAGTAGCCAAGGAGCAGAGAAACCAGCTCTGATGCAACGGGCCCCGCCCAGCTGCTCTGTAATCAGTGTCAGGCCTGACCAACCCTCAGCTGCCCTACTCTGTGAAGCACTCCCAGGCCCGCCCTACTCAGCCACCCTGCTCAGCAATAATGAAATCTCAGGCTGCAGTACTATGCTGAACAGGGCATTTGGGTGTAGCTATAGAAGCATCACAGTAAGCCATGTGTGGTGGTGTACATGTTTAATCCCAGTAGGCAGAGACAGGCAGGTCCCTAAGTTTGAGGCCAGCCTTGTCTATAGAGTGGGTTCCAGGGCAGCCTGGGCTATATAGAGAAACCCTGACTCAAAAAATCAATAGCAACAACAATTAAAAAAGAAAAAGAATTACTACTGTGCATTCCAATGGCAGCAGGCTACAGAAGGCACATGATGGTGCTCATGTTCCTACCCAGGAAGGTATAATACCCAGGTGCCTTGTGGGACAGCCTCCTACGCCCCTAACCTTGAGTGTGCTGGCAAGTGTGTGGAGGGTAAACCCTGAGGTCTCAAGAGGCTGGTGGTGACTGGCTTAGTCAACTATCCAGGGTGGGAGGAAGGAGACACACTTCTGGGCTCACCACTGGAATCAAATCCCAAGGCACAGCTATTTGACAGGCACCCACTCGACCCATTTCCAAACCCTAGGAAGTATTAGTGTGGGGGTGCATAAGCAGGGAAAACACTGCCAACAGAGACATGACTGTTGTCCAGTCATAGTCTCCTGAAAGATACTTATGGGGCCTCCAGGAGGGGCAGCCCACACTAGGCAGGAGAAACTGTGGGTAGCTCAGTGTGGATGCTGTGGCTACCTGAGAGCAACCAGGAAGGCATTCCAGGGCCTCAGTGAGAGACCCATGGAGGGGCTGCCACTTCTCACCATGATCCAGGAAGGGAAACACAGCTGGGCAAGTAGCCTATGGGTGGTAAGGAGATGAAGATGCAATCTGGGGATACATCACAGTCTATGCTGGTCAAAGGCTAGGAGAGCAGTGCTAACTGGACCTCTGACACCAGAGCTATGTGGCTATAAGCAGAGCTGGGGGCATCTAGCCCAGTGTGAGGGCAGGGAGAGGATGAGGCACATATCTACTTCTGTGGGAATTCCTCTGGGGAGGATAACAAGAACTAACTCATAAGGCCTTCTAGAAAAGATGCTGACAGGGAAGGAAGGACAGCCACAAAGCTACATGGCGGGGAGGTGGCAAGTGCCAACCCACAGAGATCACATGCCAAGGTCAAAGAGAACTAGTCAAGGGGTCCCATTGCACCCACTCCTTCACCATCTAACACTTTAACCACAAGCCACAATGTGCTACTCCCAAATAAAGAGCCATTGTCATAGTAACCAGCCAGCCAAAGAAATCCACTATAATTAGTATTCTGAATTTTAGTACAGAAATATCTGCAAACTCATACTATACATACTTAAATACAGTTAAAAACATGTGCTGGTTTTTAGGTGTGTGCAGCACAGTGGTAGGACATTCATAGATGACATAAATGTGTCTGTAGGAGGCTTAGTTAGTACCCATTTCTTTCCAGAGTTGTTATTATAGAAGAGTTTACCTACGCCTTTAAAAACGGGATAAATGGGGAGGGCGAGATAGCTCAGGTGATAATCTGCCTTGCAAGCATGATGGCCAGGTTCAATTCCCTGAGCCCATGTAAAAATGTTAGGTATGGTAGTATGCATTTGCAATGTCAGTGCTAGGGGCCAGGAACAGAAGGATTCCTAGGGTTTGCTAGCCAGTCAGTCAGTCAGTCAGTCCATCCTACCTAGTGAGATCCAAGCCAGTGAGAGATCCTGTCTAAGTTCTAAATAAGTAGGGGGCAATGCCTGAGGAACGACACCCCATGTTGTTCTGTGGCCTACACACAAACCCTCGAATGAATGTACATACATATACATGCTCTATACACACATACACAGATGTGGAATAAATACTTCATATGTTCCAAACACTTAGATATCCTAAAGAATTACCCATCAGAATAAAACCACCACTATGTGACGTTAGGAGAAATCTCACCTGTAGCAGATTTTACAATCACACTCATTCTTCTCCGCACAGAGTCAAAACTCAGAACTTCTAACAGTTCAAACCTGAAACAAACACGTGGGATGCAGTTTATTCTCTCCTGCCAAGTAGGTGCCGAGCTTGAGTGACTAACAAATTACCTTCCCAGCAGCAAGGGGGCACTCCCTGCACCCTACCCAATCTGTGTGGACCCCCCACCCCCAACGCACAGAATGCCCAGCTGCAGCCTTGTGTTGGGAATCAGTGATAAGAGGCTTTGGCCCCTCTCAGAAGGGTCATAATATCTATGTCTCATTTGGAATATGGAAGGAGCATGCAACCCTCATGCCAAGTTTGAAAACCTCTCCGGGGTTTCAGAGCTGCAGCTGCCATTGAGCTCAATGGTCAGCTCGGACAGACCCTAAAACATTGCATTGTGCACACCTGCCTCTCACATAGCCCTGGGCACCTCACTTCTAGGAATGGAACTTTGTTCTTTTCCAGGGACACACTTCATGCAGACAGCTCCTCACCTCTCAACGTCATTCTCCCTGTTCAGTATTTCCATGTAATTGTCCTTCAGTCTCAGGTAAGTGAAACCAAGCCTGCAGCAGAGAGAAGGCAAGCCCAGTGCTGAATCTGAGAGCCAGGCAGGCCTCCTCCTTGGAGTCTTCATTTTACACTAAGGCCATCTTTCTCACAGAGAAAAGTACTTTCAGTAAGACAGGTTGTTTGGTGGATTATAAACCAGGACACAGGGATTCAGATTTATTTACAACTTCAGAAAATGACCCAGCAGTCTGCGCCCTACAGGGAAGAGATGCACTCTATGGATGCTGGTGGCTTGTGGAAAGACAGCACCAGGAGTTAAGGATGCATTTCTTACTTCTAGCCATGTTTCACTGATTAGTGGGCTTCAATATTAAGAGAAGCCTCAGAGGCTACCTGCCAAGGTGCCAATGGTCACAAAAGTACCTGAACCCTAGAGCAAATGTCAAGAGTGGCTGGCAGGGAGACTTTGCCCCCCATGGGATGATGAATATGGCCACTGCAGGAGAGTTTCTGCCCTCTCATCCTCTCTCCACGCTGCCACCATTCTGGGAACAGCAAGAAACCTCTGAGATGCCTTGACCCTGACCTGCCAGCCCCCAAACTGTGAGAAATACATTCTGAGCTTTTTTATTTTTTTTTCTGTTTTATATGTTCTAAATTATGCAGCCCTCGGTCAACCTGGTTATCTGACAGGAGATAGGCCCAAACTGGCCATCTGCAGTGATATTGTCCCACACTCCTGCCAGGAGAGTGAAGTAGGTCTGGCCTTGAGCAGCTTACCAAAAGATGGGAGAGAATACCATCCTATCCTGCACCAGCTGTCACAGTAGGCAGGTGCTAGGCATATGGATGATGGTGGCCACCTTCTCTGGTGGGAGCTGGCTGTAGCTGAGAGAAAGATACCCTGGGAAGAGAAGAGCTACAGGGAAGGTGGGACAGCCTGACCTGACTTTCCTGCGTGCAGCAGCCATGGCTTCTCCCTATAAATCAATTGTTCTCAACCTTCCTGATACAGTTCCTCATGTTGTGGTGAACCCCAACCATAAACGTATCTCATTGCCACTTCAAAAGTATAATTTTGCTACTGTTATGAATCATAATATAAATATCTGATATGCAATAAGAGGTTGTGATCCACAGGTTGAGAACCACTGATATAAATGCTTCCAAACTTAGCCTCAAGGGCCTTAAAGTTTTTTGTATTTTTTTTTTGTTGTTTTTAAATTTAATTTTGTTTTGGTGTGTGTGTGTGTGTGTGTGTGTGTGTGTGTGTGTGTGTGTGTGTGTGTGTGTATGTGTATTGGGGTGGTTTGGACACATAGTGAGGGCATTATCATTCACACATCTTTGCCACTACCTAAATTGTACAGGAAAAGCAGATTTGTTGAGGCATAAAAACGTTCTCTCGCTGGTATCAGTCTCTGAAGGCTACACACATTTGTTAGTAGCAGCAGAGGGGACACTGGGAGTTTACTATTCCAGAAGAATTGTGAGTTGAGCCTGAGTGATATCCATGACTTGAAATTGTGTCCCATGTCTGGAGTGTTTTTCTGCATGTCTGTTTAACATGACATACCTCACACAACAGAAAGAACTCCAGGAAGACTCCTGGGTCAGTGTAAATGTCCCAGATGGAAAGACCCCCACACAAAGAAAGAGCAGTAAAGGGCAGAGCTTTACATCCAGCTGCTAGCTCTCCAGTTCAGGTGACAGGGAGAGCTACAGGAAGCTGGCCTTGGCATCTTAGGATCAAAGGGAAGGTCTGGGCCCGGGGCTCTGCCTAGACAGCTATAAGCACAGAAAACACAATAGCAAGGGCTTGTGTCGATGGCTTGGAAATTTGTCTCCACAAACAGTGCCAATGACCTGAGGTCACAGAGGTCACAACACAGGGTTTCCTAGCATGACTCATGAGCTGGGCTGCAGACCCAACACTCTGTGAGACCAGCAGCCTGACTCACCTCTGCACACCTTCAACCAGTGCAACCTCATCAGGCGAGGAAGATATGTACACACAGGACTTTGAGTCTGGAGATTTCCGGGGACCATCTACATCATCCCCGTGATCATCATCCTTCACCTGGACGGTGTGGCACAGGCAGATAGCCCTGAAAAACAGCTCCTCCCGCTCCTGTGGAGACAGTTGGGGAAACCTTGACACCTCTGCCTGTGGCGGGAGAATGTGGATGGGACAACAGACTGGACAGGCCCACAGAGCAGAGCCTAAGACTTCCTGGGGTTTGTCTCAGTGGCTACAAAAGAGAATCATGTGTGACTGCTTCATGCTCCAGAGCTGCTATGGTAACTACTGTAAGTATTAACAGTCAATGAAGAATGAAAGGCCTTTTGCTCACAGTGACACTCCAAGGAAACGGGAAGGTATGGCTATAAGCACACTCAAGAATGGCCATGTCACAGTGAGAAAAATGTCACCTATGTCATTGGCACAATCATTCCCAAACACATTACTCTCCAGTTCCTGGCCACAGTGGCAGTCTGCTCCCGCAAAGGATGCTGCACTCCACATGAGTTAACCTCAGCTGTGTGCCTGCAGCCTGCAGCCCAATCCTAACACAGCCCTGGAGGCAAAAGCTAGGAGCCCCATGCTGAAATGAAGCGATGTGAGTGAGATCACCAGAGGCTGACCCAGATCTGAGCTCAGCTACTTCAGTGCTGGCTATGTCCCGTAGTCATTTTGAAGATCCCCGAGGTCCTAAGTAGATGGGCAGCACAGTGGCCAATGATAGGGCTTCCCTGATAACCAATGTAGTCGATGGGAATTGGGGTGGGTTCAGGAGGGTGTGGTGCTGCTATGGCATGTCTTAGGATGACCACAAGGGTCTACTCCATCCTCTTTGTGAGAAAATGATACCAATCAGAGCTCACATTGAAGGACTAGTGTTCTGACTGTGAACTGCTCATCTATCACTGATAGTCCACGCTGGTGCTCAGAGGACCCTCAGGTTCTTCGGTCATCACTTATCCGGTGTTACCATATAACTGGTGCTGGAATTTGAACCCTGACCAGAGACACTAAGACCCAAGGCCATGGCTCTCTGGGGTGTGGTGTGTGTGTGTGTGTGTGTGTGTGTGTGTGTGTGTGTGTGTGAGTGTGTACACCTGCTTGCACAAATGCTTTATAGACAAGTGCAGTGTAAGTACACATGTATCTGTGCATGTAAATACATGTGTGTCTAGGCTCTTGTGCACACATCTATATGCACATGTAGCTTTGTACACATGCAAACTGTATATTCACAGTACACTCAGCATACTGCCTGTTCCACTTGTTTTTTCTTCCCCTGGCCCCTAGGTCAATTCTATCAGAGGGATCTCCTGGCCCTGCCCCTTGGAAGGGGACACAGCACCACCATGAATTCTAACCATGACCTCACTCAGGTCCTACAAAGGACTTCTGCCTTTGTCATGTTGTCCAAATGAATGGGGCAGGTTCTGCCAATGAGAGTACCCCACAACCCCCAATCACGTGATCCCAATCATGCAGCACAGACACACACCTACACCCCCACAAGCTGCAACCTACCCTTCCACTGACGCCTGGGGAAGAATCAATCATATCAATGCCAGAAGAGTCGGGAAGGACCTGCCCATTGCAGATGACATGGGGCACGTAGACGTGACCCTCGATGCAGCACTCCTTGAAGGCCATGTTGTTCTCTGTGAGGGTGCCTGTCTTGTCTGTGAAGATGTACTCCACCTGAGGGTACCACACACTCAGGTTAAGCCATGTTTAAGCACGTGGCAATTCTTAGCCCAAGCTTATTATAATCCTAGTGGGACAGGAACATGACAGATGTGGGTACCCAGGGTACCTGCCCCTTCTCCCACACAGGTGCGATTTTTGGGGAGGAGGCCCTACCCTCCTCACACTGGTGACAAATATGAAACGGAACACACTGTGCCCTTGCCTCCATGTGTCTGCTTACGCAGGACAGATGAGAGAAAAGGGCGAACCTTCTCTAAGCCTGAGAGGACAAGGCTCCCAGGACGAGAAGAGGGTTAGAGGGCAAGATACACACATGGAGAAGGGCAAACCACACTTCAGAAAGGAAACAACAAAGTGCAGAAGATGCCTCCAGCTTCAAACTGTAAATGAGAGGGAATCACAGGCTGCACACCTTTCATGGATAGCTGAGGTTCCAGGCCAGTCCCACAGCACTGGATGGGGAGCCAGACCAGGTGCCCCATAAAATTCTTCCCAGGAACATGTTCTTATAAACCCCAGCAGATGTCCCTCCCACCCATGCTTGGCTTTAACAAATAAAACACAAGCACAAGGCAATGCTGTACTGAGACTGTATTTAGTTAGTAACAACCCTGCTGTCTAAACACCAGCTCATGGGGGCCTCTTCCAGGGTCACCTAGCCAGAGTGTGTGTGCTGGCTACATCCCTAAGGACCCAGCAGGTAGACATTTTGTGTGATTAAGGTAAAAATTAAACAATTACAATGGACATTTATTAGGTTGTAGTATATGTCAGGCACTGGACATTACCTTGGTGGATCCTCATATCAACCATGTTACAGTTTTATGAACAAAGGTTTAAAACTATTTTTAAGATAAAAAACAAACAAACTGTTGGCCAATGGCTCAGGCTTCTTACTGAGTAGCTCTCTCTTAATTATTATCCCCTATCTACTAATCTGCATAATTCTACATGGCCTTATCTTACCAGAGAACGCCTGGCACGTCCTATCTTCCTGGTTTTTACATGGCATCTCCCCAAGGCAGACTTTCTCTGCCTTCTCCTAGCCCTGCCTTTCTTCTTGCCTCTACTGGTCAATCAATGTTTCATTCATCAACCGACAAGAGAAACATAAATATACAGAGGGACGCCCCCATCATTCAGCAGAAACAAAACTTGTTGGTGCATGTCCACTGCTGCCCTCACTTCTGACTTTCACTGTGGCAGCATATCTACACGTCAGGTCCACGGCCTGGACAAACCACCAGTAACCAAGGAGAACCCAGACCACTAGGACACATTGGATTGGGAAGGGCTAAGTGTTCATGCAGTCTCTAGAAGATACCGACCTGTCCAAGCTCCTCATTTAGATCAGATGTGTTGACCAGAGGCCCTTCCCCCATTTCCTCGTCAAACATGTCTTCATCCCAGGTGATAAAGTAGGAGCCCAGGAACTTCTGCATCTCCACTGTGACGTACATGGATACTGGGATGATGTAATTGAAGAGGACCATGAAGGCCAGGAAGTCGGTGAAGGCCCTGAGAAACTAAGAGCATTGGCTGCATGAGGAAGCTGTGGGTCACATGGTAAGGACAGGAAACCTCAGACTGACATCTCTTACCCCAGTCAGATAAGTAAACACAAGTACTTCCACCCTAACACAAAGACCCAAGGGGACCATTGCCTATCGTGTCTTGCTATGACCAAGAGTAGAATTAGATGGCTGTGGCAGTGGAGAGATGGGGAGGGACAGGGATAGAAGCTCACACTAACCACACCGGCAGGAACGTGGAGAGACCATGCTAAATGGGGCCCAACGGGAATGCCACTTTTGAGTATTCATGATGTCGCTCCATGGCTAACAATCCCCAAACTGATGACAAGATGGGACTTTGTTATATAATGATTTTCTCTTTAAACTCATGGTCCCCCTGTCTCAGCCTTGTGCTGGGATTACAGACCTGCACTGCTACACCCAGCTCCGATGACTTCTCTGTAGTTTATTCCTATCTTTGAAGCTATTAGGGAGAGGGGGCCTGACAGATGGAACACAGCATCACACGGGCTCCATGTTCATACACAGGGCTACATTTGCACACAGCCTGACGTGACTTTAGTGCACACAGGCCTAGGTTCACATATGACCCTGCTCTGAGGTCAGAGCCTTTTGTCCTCTAATTTCCACAAGAAGTAGCATTTATCCCAATGGTGTGCTGAGTTTTGTAAACATCAAAATTACTTTGGTCATTTACACATTTCCCATGTAAAGGAATACTTTCCAGGCACAGCAGGCTGCTCACACCTTCCTATACCACGTGCCAGTGAGGGCCTTTATCCTAAGTTTGGGCAAGACTCCATCCTGCCTGAAGCAAATTCCCCTGTGTAGTTTCCTGGCACCATCTTTTTTGTGACAATGGCCTAAGGGTCACCTCTGCCACACAAGGGAAGTGCTTCCATACCAGATTCCTCTGGCGCTCTGACTCAGTCTTCTGGTTGTACCATGGCTCATCCCGGAACGGCTCACTCTGCCACACATACTTCAGTACCGTGTTGATCAGGGCCTTGCTCACCAGGATGCAGAGGTACACGATCAGGAATGTATTCATTGACCTACGGCGAAGCAGGCCAGCCTTCAGAGGCCACTCCTGATCCTTCCTTACCATGAAGAGATAGCACAGGGCACTCAGCAATGCCCTGGAGAGTACTGTCCAGTCTGACCCACTAAGAATAAAGGCCAGATCATTCACAGCCATCAATGCCCAATGCCCAGGATGCAGGACCAGAGCCACAGGAAGAGAGGGAAAGGTATGTGCTGCCATGTGGCTGGAGAACCTCTCTGAACCATGAGAACCCCTGCTTACAGAAAAGGGACAGCCAGCATCAGCTCCCTTGGCCATCAGGTGCACCAAATGATCTTAGAGCTTAGTGATTCTCACTCTGGAGTGGACAAAGAGAGTACCAGAGAATGGCCTGAGGCTGGAAAATGCCTGTCCTGGATTAAGGTGAGGCAAATTTGGGGTGAGGTTTTGTTTTCATGGTCTGTTTCTGAAGCCCACATACCACACACAGATGTCTGCAAGCAAAGCATCCTAGCTGATGAAAAACCCACTTCCACTTTCACACAGCAGAGCTGCAGATAGGCCCTAGGTCACCTGCAGCACTCTGCACACGGCAGCTCCTGCAGCTTCACTCTGTGACATGGAGGTTATCTACATCTCTGACAAAACCTCAGACTCCACTTCCTCATAAGTCTGACCTCCATCCCGACAGTTGTCAGCATTCCATTGTCTAATGGAAAATATTCATTCTGCTCACAGTGACTCAGTAAAACCACATCAAGACACACTCAGCTCCTACCAGGTCCCCAGGTTGCAAGAGGCTGAATAAGACCCCCATTTTGTCGTTTGCCTGGATCAGTGGCTGGGGATACGAGGCATCTGTGGACTGATCTAAAATTAGAACTTTGGGGAATGACTTACAGGTAGCATGTTAGCAGAGATAGGGGTGCAGTCGTTTGTCTCACTGGGAGGAAAGCAAGCAAATCCCCTGAGTAATAGGCTCTTTGACCAGCAGCTCCAGTTTCTGGAGGAGTGCGACCACTAAGGATGCTGTGGGCTCCCAAGGAAACTGTAGGCCCCCTGAGGACACTGTGGGTTCCTAGAACACTGTGGGCCCCCCAAGGATGCTGTAAGCCCCCCGATGACACTGTAGGTGTCTGGAGGATGCTTGGGCCCTGCAAGGACACTGCTGTATCCACAGGAGCCAGTGATAGCTTGAAGGTAGCAGCAGGGGAGTGGCCTTACTTTTCCACAGCAGATCTCTTTTGGGACTTGGACTGATAGTTCAGGGCCATCTTGGTCTCCATGCCCGTGTAGATGGCCACACCTAGAAGCAGAAGAGTCTGTGAGATGTCCATAAGTGGGAGAGAAGGATGCTCACACAAACAGGTCATACCTCCAACTTAACCAGCAAGTGAGTGGAGTCCTCACACTCAGGACTTTCCTGTGTGGATCTAATCTGCACTTTACATTATATTCTTCAGCCCAAAATCTAATGCTAATCTAATACTAATCTGATCCAATGGGTAATCTAGCAGTGGGGCACAGTGTATATTTTAAAAGTTATTTTAGTTAGAGACAGCTAACCTGAACAAGGAGGAGCTAACGGGCCCCCAGAATGATAGCTGGGAATCCAGTATGGAACTGACTCAGGCCCCCCTGAATATGGGCTTCAGCCAGAACCAGGGTCTCAGCCAGACAGTGGAACCAGGATGTATTCCTTGTTCACAAAAGGACCTTGTGAACACATCCCCCATGGAGGGATACTGCCTTAACACAGAGACAGGAGAGAAGCCCTAGTCCCTACTTCAAATGACTTGACAGATTTACATGACCCTACCTGGATGGCATTGCACTACATGTGGAATTGGAGTGGGGGGGATGGGTGGTCAGGGTACATGTGAGGGGGCAGAGAGGGTAAGAGGGAAGGAGAGAGGGAGGGAGAAGGAACTGGGAACGACATGTTAAATAAATAAATAAATAAATAAATAAATAAATAAGGGGGGGAAAGTTATTTTAGTAAATTAAAACAGGAAACAGTACACTGTCAATGGGAGGTACTGAGTGACAAGCAGACTTAGAAACCTCTCTGCATTAAAACACTTCATGAGTATCTCCCTGGATACAGCTTCATGTTCCTGAGTCATGAACTGAGGTCCTAATAAGTTAGTCATGACGTCATTGCCACGGCTGTGAGTTCAGGTTATACCACACACTCACCTCTTAGCAAGCTGCCCTGCACCAAGTCTCAGTACTCTAAGACACCCAGTGACCTCTCAGGGTGCTGGGAGTTCAGTTTGCTTAGTATTCTAGATTTTAGGAATTATTACCAGTGCTTTGTAAATTAAAATATTTACCAAAGATCTTCTCTGTGTTTTTCAGGGTGGCGCCTCTGAGAAGCAGGTTTTCTGATCCTAACGGCCTAGAAGACAAGGAGGCCAGAAGCGGTGTGACTGGAGACTGAAAATCAACCCAACCATCCAAAGAGGAGGTGCATAAGTGTATGATTGCTCATACTGAGAGTACCAAAGTCCGGCTGCGTAAGCACTGGGCTTTTCTGAGATGGAGACTTTGCCTGCTGGACTATATCTAGTCCTGTCTTCCTCGGTCACTCACGGGGACCTGGAGCTTCATAGAGATATTTGAGATGTCTCAAGGAAGTAGGGCACCATCCTCAAGTAACCAGGAGCCTGAATGGTTTAGTGACATTTCTACCAGAAGCCACAAGCAGAGACTTCAGATGGGGTCTCTATCTGTACCACCTGCTATACCCAGGGACACTGAAAATGTCACCTAGACTGACTACAAAGGAGGTCTAAAGGCAGGCCAACAACCCTCTCCCAACACACCTCCAATGTGAGTGAGGGTGGCTGTGCTAGGAGACCTCAAAAAGTTCTGAAAAGGCCAAGACCTCGAGTTTCACCTGTCCCTCAGCTGTTCCTCTCCCATTCTAGGACTTGGAAACTCCTCCTTAGTGTGAACACAGCCCTGAGTGTGGAAGGAGGCTGGGCCTCTGGGGCCTCTGCAGTGCAAGTGTAGCATGCAAAGATCACCTGTGGGAGCAGCTGTCAGTCTTTCTTCTGAGCAAAGAGGGAGTTCAAAGCAGTGTAAATCCTACTGCTGTGTTCCAGTGACCAGTGTGTCAGAGAAGAGCATCCCAGTGACCACGGTGTGCCAGAGACGAGCCTGTTTGCCTATAATTTAACTTGCTTGCTTTTCTGTACTTTTGGGCTGATGTGAATGCACACAATATTCCACCCTTAGTGGGGTCAGTGTTTTGGCCAACACGGTTCAGACTGTACCCTGCAGGAGGCCAGGGGCTGTAAGCTGCTCAGGCACCTCATCGAGGTGGCTGGCAAGCAACTGGCGGCTCCTTTCATCTGACAGCCACCACTGACAATGGCTCTCCTGGCTGTCCAGGGCTGTCAGCTTCTGTTAGCAACTTGCTTCCAATAATTCATGTCACAAACTTTAATGAACACAAAGGACCTCACTTTACACGGGTCTCTGAGAGCTCTAAACATAATGGACTTGACAAAATACTTTGCTTCAAGTATGGACAGACTGAAGAAGAAATATAATTGAGTGGACTGGGAATTTGGATAGGGAACTGATAAAAGCAAATTTTCTTCCTGTTTACACTTCCAATATTTATAAATATCTTAAAAATCCAAATGACAAACAGTCCTGATGCTGAAAGGCTGAGCTACACCTAGCATCAAAATACAAAGTGCATTAGGACAATGGTCCTGAGTTTGGGGCCATAGCTTCATCACAGCATGAAGCTCAGGGTCCATAGAACATGCTCCCTCGGTTTCATCAATGGCCTGAGAACACACCTCACTTGCTCCTTCATCCTAAACAAATCACCTCTCCACACTGTCTAGTATCCAGAGCAATAAGAACTCTTCTTCTTTGAAAACAAAAGCAATGCTTCCATCCTCCTCCCAATTAATGCCCTATTAACCTGCCGATGGATGGTGACCACAAACCAGGGTAAGAGCTGAGACAGTGGCACCAGACTGAGCCAGCACTCAGGAGGCTGAGGCTGGAGGATCGGGTGTTCAGGGCCTTCCCAGCTTACAGTAAGATAAGGTCTCATAAATAAGTAACATAAAAACTAACCACTAAAAACACATGCTAAGAAGTGCACAGGCCATTCCCTTAAAGCAGCTGCTGACCGAGTCCCATGAGAGGCAGGCTGGCTACGGGGACTCCAGTGACTGCTTATCCTGTGTACTTTCCCTCAAGAAGTCTGCCTGATACCATATCAGAACATCAATAATCAGGAAATTCCTTAAACTGTAAGAAAAGATCTGCAAAACCTTCTGAAAGACAATTTCCTCAACAACAAATCCAAATGCTTTCTCATCAAACACACCAGCTATCCCAGTCTGAGGCAGACAGGTCTCTAATGGGACATCTGAGGTGGGTGACAGCACGTGGTGCTCAGATGGGGACAGGTAAGGTGGTACTCAGGGCCAATACCAAGCCCGCAGTGGCTGCTCTCTCCCAGTAGATATTGTGGCTGCTGGCATTGAGGCAGGGATGATGGAGCAGGAAGCCCACAACACACAATACTTCTTCATAAGGCCCTCTCTTCCTAGCTGGGCCTAAAAGAAACTTCAAGCATCTCATTCCAGTGGCAGCATGGCCAGGCTGACCTACCCTCAGCCCTTTGTATTGGAAAGGTATGAAGTCACAGCACATGTGAAGGTGCCTCTCTTAGTTGGTTTGGGCCCTCCTGCTCATTAAGAACGAATCTGTGGGCTTCTGGAGAAGCCCAGCTGGAGAAGCTACCCACTGGTAGAGTTGTGGACAAGGGGCTTTGTTAATTACATCAACATGTGTAGACAAAACCCCAGAGTCAACATGGGAGAATGGAACTTGCATATGAGTCAGGGCCTGGCCTTCTAAACTAAGCCAAGGGGCACGGTAGAACCCATCGATGAATGAGCACCTAGCGTGACAATGAAAATGGTAAAGACCTGGATCCCCGAGAAGACTCACCTCACCACAGGGTCATTCAGGTCGTTGTAAACATTGATGCGCCCCACAAACCTGGCAACAGAAAAGCCCACTTTACTCATGGTACCACGGGGCCTCCAGCCTGCACCACAGCTAGCCTGCCCTATTCTACAGTGTGACCAGTGGTGGCCCAGGCACTCAGCTCTCCCTCCTCTCTAACCTTACTTCCTGAGCTTCTTCACCCAAGGCTTAGATGACCCTTAACCCAGTTAAAAATCACTTCCTCAAAATACAGAATGCTTAGGCTTCCTTCTGTGAGCGACAGGTCTGTTATGGCAACAGTAAACCCAGTCGCTCCTGGCCAGTGTGCTTGGCTTACTTGTAAAGGTCAGGCTGTGGCTGTTCACACTCGATAGTGGCATGCAGCCCATCAACGTCTTCCTCTGTGTGGAAGCCCTTGGTGTCCTGCACTGCGTAGTGAGTCTGCAGAAGGAGAGGAAGCATGAGCTACACCCCAAAACTCCACTCTACCTGGCTTCTGGAACCCACCCCACAACTTGATCTTCACATGCATCCCTACTGTGAGTATGGGTGCAAAAGGTTATAGAAAGATGGATGAGCCTCTGTTATTGCTCTACTTGGTGGTGACAAGAGCTCTGACTCTCCAAGCTTATCCAGCATCCTCATCTTAAGACCAGCAGGACAAAGGGCAAGCCTGGGACTTCTTTAACCTGATATTTGATGTACCTTCCCTGGTAAGAGCTATCAATCGCTGATGTGCTCCTCCTCTTTTAGGCAAAGTACTACTCTTCCTAGAAGGTGCCAAACATGCCTGTTGGTTTCATTTTCCAAATTCTGCTATGAATTGTCCCCTTACCATTGCTTCTATGCACCTTGGACTAGAAGGTTCCTCAAATCTGAACAAAGTATGCATCAAAGCCACAGGAGGCTGCAATGCAACACTGTTTGGACACCTTTCAGAACTCAATGTATCAGGTCTGAGCAGAAGGCCTAAGAATGGCATTTCTAAGTAGATACCAGCTACACTGTGCTGCTGTCCAGGGCTATGACTGTGGCCTAGCTAGCACCTATGGGGACCATGAACAGGTAAACATTTTTCCTCCTTTATCCAGGGAGGAGGGGAGAGGAGGGAGGGGAAGGAAGGGAACACAAGAGGAGAGATGTATGCCAGGGGCTGTCAGGAGGAAGGGACCCCTGTACCTCTGTTTATATTTCTAATAATAAGCACTGGAGAGAGTGGTCTGACCTGGAGCAGCTGAACAGGTGAAGGCACTTCACCATTTATGTCATTCAAGCACTTGCTATGTGTTGAGAATTTGGGAAGAATTCTAATCATGAGAGTGGCTACCTTTCACAGATGTAAAAAGTCCAGAAAGGGCAAAAGGCCATGCTAACGTTATGTGAACAGTGGAAGACTCCCTGAGGTTGGTAGAAGCCTTCCCATAGTTTGTCGTTCAGGTTCACATAACTCTAGCCACCAGAGCCAAACCAAATCTCTGGAAACAACACTGGGTACACAATAAAATGCATCCTGCAAACACACAAGAGACCAGCATGAAGCAGTGGCTGCAGCATTTTCCACACTGACAGCTGTTGCTGCAGTGCACTGCCCAGGAGAGAGCTAAGCCCCTGGACCCCAGACCTGTCCAGATACTGGGCCGTTCCACTGAGCAATCACAGTCTCCATGGAATGGAGTCTTGCCGTCAGATGGGGCCCTGAGCAGGCTTTATCTAATAGAGGAGAGTAGCTCAGAAGATCTTAGACCTTAGACCATGATCCCTGTCCAAGTACAATAGCCCAAGTCATCCAGAAGCCCCCCCCCCCCAAAGGATGTTGCTTATCAACCCTTAAAGAAGAATGCTCTACCTAGAAAATATGAAATCCACCCACAGGCCTTTACACCAAGTGCCATGGCTGACCCCTAAAGATTGGTACATCCTTTGCTAATCATGTAAAAATGTGTCTCATCTTACATCACGGGCTACCTGCACCTGCAGGAATCATTACTCATTGTTTTAGAGTTTTAGGGGCTGATGCCTCTCTACTGTTCCTAGGAGCTGCCAGAAGCATCAGTGGTTTCATTATATTAGATATCATAATATCATAGAAGCTCCTCCTTCCAGATTTTAAGAAGCCAAACTTGTAAATTAACAGAACTATATATTTTTTCTCTCATGAGTATCAAAGCTTTTACATCCAATATAGAATTCCATATGGAGTTCTAGAAGATTTTCTTAAGATGTTTAACCAGACAGTGAAATAACAGATAAAATCTGTAACTTCTGATTGACTTTCACACAGTTCTAGACTAGGAAAGACACACGTTTGTACTAAGAAAGGGAAAATGTTAATACCCTAACAACCTACTTGTCTCTCACTGGGTAATGCAGGTACAACTGCCCACCTCAGATGGTGGCTGTCATAAACATTAAAGGAGGAAAGAAAATAACTGAAAATAGGAAAGAACAAAAGTAAGGTTAAAGGTTCGAGGGCATGAAACCCCCTCACCCCCAGAGAGCTCTGTGACCATAGACAGGCTTAGTCTGCACCTAGAATGTAACATCTGCTGTCAAAGCCCAGTCTGATGAAGACCCCAAGCTGCACCCCAAATCCAGGCACGTTACTTTATGGCTCGACTCTCCATCTAAGCTGGCGGTGGTGACATGGCAGGTCCCATCTGCCCGGTTGCTGGAGAGAAAGATCAGGTCACAGGGAAAGGTCTCATCTTCCTTCACCATGACAATGTCCCCAACCTGCAAGACATAGAAAGAACAGCCACTATGAGGCCACCTTGGTGTGACAGCTCATTCTGGGCTGGAATTCACTCTCCGGCTATATTCAGAGTTGGTGTTAAGACACCAACCACAGTGTCTTACAGGAGGCTGTCATGATCACACCACTATGGTGTCTTACGGGATGCCAAAATGATTCTAGGAAAAGACCACGCCGGCAGCTGTTGGGCAACTGTAGGGCACACTAGGAAAGACTGTCCCAATGAAAACATCTCTCAAACAGAAGCAGTGACACATGAAAGGGCATTTATATATCAAGCATATTTAAAGTAAACATATACATAGCCATGTGTCAATAGATCAGTATGTGGAATGGAGTTAGCAAACACACATTATGTGTCTGTGATCCTTGGAAGGGGTGCTGTTCCACATGTGGCCGGGCACTGCAGCCACTTCCTGAGACACCCTCTGACCTCAAGCTCAACAGCTGGCTGGTGAGGCTGGGAAGAGTTAGATTAATCCTATATCAGGGCTGGCTGAACTCCTTGACTGGGGCAGTCTGCAATCGGGGATGAGGTCAGGACAGATAGCAGAGCTGCCTAAGAGGGAGTGGGGTGGAGTCAGGGGAGGCTTGGGCATGGGAGGGGTACCTGGGGGAAGAGAGGCAGGGAGAGAATGAGTCCAAATTTACAGTCAGGTGATGACCAAAATCAGAGCTGGGCTGTGACCCAGAGGCAAGTTTGAAAAGCCATCCTGTCTACACAAACACAAGTGTTCTCAAGTGGCCAGCACAGGTAGAAAGGCAAGCTGCTCCAGCGACTTAAACCATTCAAATATCCAACAAAATGAGACAGGGCAGTCTGACTACCCAGCAACAGGATCATTAATGGCCAAACCTGCTTTTTGAAAAGTTACATTAAAAATGATTCTGGAAAACACATCCGTGAACCAGGCAGATGCAGTGGGTGCATGTGCCACTTACTCTCAGCTTCCGACTCTGCTTCCGGACCAGTTTGCCATGCTGGATGAAGTGCACCGGACACTGGTTCATGGCATTGTCTGCCTTGTGGCGAAGCCAGTCTTCATAACCCTAACAACAGAGAGACAGAGAAAGAGATGTGTTTAAAGAGATCACGGCTATGCATGGTCTCGCCTGGGGTTTTCTCGCATCTCCCTGGTCCTTACAGCTGCTAGTTCTCACACCAACGTAGGCTGCTTTAAGTTTCTGCGGTTATAACTGATAAAATCTTGGTAACTAGACTTCCATTCGGACCCAGGACCCACCCTAAAGCTGAGCCAGGTTTCAGGATTCTGTGATGAGTCTCCAGTGTTTGGCAGCCCCTGGGTACGGACAGACTGTCAACCACACTCACCCAACCTGCTCTGCAAACTTTCAAGCATGACCTAATTGGTCTGCAACAGAGATGAACTGTTTTCAAACCTTTACAGATGACTACCAAGTGAGCAATGAGAGAAACCAACAGCAAGTAACTGTACTTTTTTTAAAAAATTGTCCTAGATAAGATCTCTCTCTCTCTCTCTCTCTCTCTCTCTCTCTGTCAACTTAACATATACTAGTCACTGAGAAAATTCTTCCATAAGATTGGCTTATAGGAGGAAGGCAGGGGGAGCAAGAAGAGCGAAGGGAGGGGGCACTGGGATTGGTATGTAAAATAAAAATATTGTTTTAAAAATAAAAATCCCTATGGCCTACAGGCAATTCTATCGGGCATTTTCTTGATTAATAATTGATGTAGAAAGGCCCAGTTCACTGTGGGAGGTGCCACACCTGGGCAGGTGGTCCTAAGCTGCATAAGAAAGCAGACTTGGCAACGTGGAGACTCCCACACCTCTCTGAATAGTGTGAGTCCCATGGCTAGCCACCTGTAGCACCTGCTCCCACACCTGTCAGAAGAGCATGTGTCCCAAGGCCAGCCACCTGCAGCACCTACTGTTGGGTGGCTGCACTGCCCTTTCTGGGGAAAGAATTTACTTGGAAGCTGACAGTCTGCAAATTATCCAGATGACTCAAATGAAAAAGTGGATTCTAAACACCAAAATGCAAATTCACACCATCTAGTGCTCTGTAGCAGAAGGACCTAGCACAAACAAAACAGGCAAAGGTCACACATCTAACTATTTACAGACGGCTTCTCGGTCCACAGAAAGATCCCCAATCTCATGGGCTATCAGGGCCATGAGAGTAAGACACCACCAGGCATACACTGAGATAGCTACAACGGGCTGAATGCGTCAAACATCAGTGGCAAAGCCTGCAGACCACTGGCAGGAAAGTGTTCTGTTATGCAGGGAGGGAGACATAGCTCAGGCTTAAAGAAATTCTACCTATAGACAAACCCAAGAACTAAGGATATACATCCATCAGTCTATGTCCATCCCACAGACACAATATATGCAATTATTTGTCAACTAGAAAATAAATATATAGGGGCAGAGAAAGGGGAAATCTAAATAAATAAGTAATAAAGAACCAGGGACAAAGGTCAAATCAGTGTCCACACAGATGCTCTGAGCAGTGTGTTTTAGCAGAGTTGAGATAAACTAATGGGGGGTCTAAGCACACAGCCCAGAGCATCTCTCATCTATGACATGGACCAGAGCTCTAAAATGCCAGAGTGTAGGTAACCCTTGAGAACACTATGATACCTGAAAAAGACCAGTCAGAAAGAACAGTGTGTCCCCGAGAAAGCTTTCGCAGATACAGTCACTGGCTGCATTTCAAGACAGAAAACACTCCCATCAAGGGTCAGCAGAGGCTGTCCTGGAGGCTGACAATACACTGGATTGCACTGGTTGGCTCACAATGTACAGACAAACTTCCTTCTCCCATTCAGAGGCACAAAACCAGTGACCCACTGCTTTTAACTCACTTCTGCCTAAAGTAAAACCAACTTTCCCTTGTCTTAACTTCTGAGTCAGCTGAGGCAAACCAGACTGCCCACATTGAGTGGAGGCGACCCCTTGTGGCGGCAATGGCACCTGCCCCTCTGCTTGTGAGATTAACTTTTTAATTTAAGAATTGTAACAATATTTTTAAAAATTGACAACTTGATCCTAAAATTTATGTGAAAATGAAAGGTTCAAGGCCAAATTAACAGGGTTGTTTTATTTACACACTCAACTTCAAAATTTTAGTACACAGCCCTATAGTAATGAAACTAGTGCATTAAAAAATACCCTAGTGATGGAGATATACCCGTTGAATAAATAGCTATACAGATATAAACCTTTAAAATGGGCAAGATGGTCTTTTCATCCACTGTTTTGCATATCTACATGCAGAATAAAGACACATACTGTTTGGTTTATATATTGTACCATATTTTAAATTAACATAAAACATTACCCAAATTAATAACTAAAGTTATAAAACTTTTGAGGAAACACCAGGCATTTAAATTATGTCTCAATCTTTGCTGTGCTTATGGCTAAATGGTAGCTCAGTAAGGGAGAAGGGAATCCCCCCTCACACTCAGATAAAATAAACAAATAAATAACCCAATGAGAAGGCATATTAAAGGAATGTGGGCTCAAATTGAATGGGCCGGTAATGGCTAATGCAAGAACAATTTAAACATTGGAGCATTACTGGAGCCCAAAGTTTAAACTAAATATTTATAGATCCGTATTGATATTAGCAAACCCCTGGATAAAAGTAAATGGGCGTTAGACAAATATTCCCTGAGTAAGAATCTGAAATAATTTACATACATCTTTATGAAGGTGATGAACCATGTCTTCAAGACTCCTTAACTGTTGGGTTGTGCATGGTAACTTGCTTACAAAGTGGAGTATGATAGGGAGAGGGGCAAAAGGACTTCACAGTAAGGACATAGGGCAGGTGACAGTATTGTGGGTGGACAGTCGAGCCTGACTGACACCCTCAGGGTGAGTCAAACTGACAGCTTATACTTTTGACTTTTAAAAAACCTCACTGCACATCTGTAGCTACTCTCTCAAGAGTCTGACACCATCTAAGTCTGAGGAAACGAAGCGTGCAGTGTTGTGCCATGCCTCACACTACAAGGTGACCTGTGAGAGTCTCACCTGCTTGATGGCTGTGACCGTGATGACGAAGAACAGTGGAAGCCCGCTCGTCACCGGGCTTGTGGGTGTGTCGATGATCAACTGTGGGGACAAGAGAGCCCTGGGGTCACCCTGGAAACACTCGCTGGCAGCCTCACAGAGCTTCTTCCCACTCAACACTTTACCTGCTCCCTCCTTGCCTGGCAACCAAGACAAGAAGGACACCACCCCATCCTGGGGGCAACTTAATAAAGGGGTGTGCTTAAGGAAACCATGTCAGTACGTGGCCAGTGACAAGTCTGACTCTGGATACAATGGTTCATTTAGGTCATACTGCAGGTGTCACACTTGAGTTTGTTCTGACAGAGTCCACGCTGGGAGATTCTACAGTTTATAGCCATACTTGGAATACTTTAGAAAAACATACTGCAAAGTGCAATCCACCAGCTGCTCCCACCCACACCCTTGCTGTGTCCCCGCCCCACATCTCTATCTCTCTGGATGTACATCTGCTTTGCATCTCCTGAGAACTGAGAATGAGTAAATGGAGATGCCAGGCATGGCAGGAGACTTCGCCCTGTCTCCTCTTGGGGCTAGAATCAGAGAACCCATGAATGAATGAATGGTAAATGAGGTGTGCCACATTCTTGCTGATTTTAATGACTGTATGTCACTTCTTGAGAATCCAATGACATGTGCTGAGAGAGAGGGCCAGGGCATCCTTACCTGCACCAGGAAGATGATGAGAAAATAAAAGTTGGCTATTCTTCTGAACTGTTCAAACAGGTTCTTAGGTATGAAGTTCCAAAATGTGTACTGAGCAAAACAAAAGCAAAAACAGTCACTTTCTGTGGCGTTCCAGTGCCTAAGAACAGGGAAGGCAGAGTATAAAGTGTTTAGTTTTAGGTACAAACTCATCAGAATTTAGATTACTAACATTCTGCCAGTGCTAAACAATGCCCTAAGACAAACTGCTAAGACAGAGTGTACCCCCTGAAGTAATCATGCCTGAATGGCCTGGCCCATCAAGTCAAGGCAGAAAGCAGAACACTGAACAAAAGTTAGTGTGCACGTGCGGAGCGTTTCTTCACTCGCTCGGGCTCAGCACAGACTTGTGGCACAACTCTTGCTCTGAGCTGCCACTCCCTGTGTCCAGGACAACTGAGAGATGCGACAGAAGGGACAGAGTCTGAGCTGCTTGGAGACTGCTTCCCTGATGGCAGGGTGAAGAAAGAGGGCGCTGCCCACTCTACAGTCTCCAAACTGACCGCTCAGGGTCTGTACTGAGAACAGTGCTACCCTCGACATCTCCTTCATGCTGTGTCGATATCCAAGGTCACTTGTCTTTTCACATGTATTTAGAGGTATGAGGGGACCCTCCAAGTCACTGGTGGGGACTCTGATTAGGGCTGTGGAGACTGCTGGTCATGTCAATAGGAGCAACATCCAACAGCACAGTCTTCCTGCCCATGAACACTGATATCTCCTCTCTCCTCGGAGGATCTTTCGTTTCTCTCATGGCAGTTGTGCAGTTTTCCTCATGACTCTCAGGTCTTAGTGCTCTTGTCTGTGTGACACACATACTGGGAAGGACTTAATGAAGCTCAGAGCCCTGGCTAAAACAGGCACTCAATATGGGGAAGGTGAAATTCTAGAACTTGACAAACATTGCACAAACAACCCCTCTCTTCACCTGATTTTGATATACATGCATTTCTCCTTAACTGGACAAAAAAAAGAAAAAAAGAAAAAAGAAAAAAGAAGGAAAAAAAAAAAAAAAAAAAAAAAAAAGAAAGCTCCACAACTTCCTTTAGCTTTCTCGGGGAAGCATTACAGCATTACAGACACACAAAGATAATGGCAATATTTGTGGCCCTCATTCTCTCACATTTCTGGGATGAACATATTAGTTTTGTTTTTTATACAACTCTATCACCAAATGTTGTTGTTATTATTATTATCATTATTGTTTTTCTGCCGGGGTTTCTATGTGTAGCCCTGGCTATCTTGGAATTGACTCTGTAGGCCAGGCTGGCCTCGAACTCATAGAGATCTACCTACCTCTGTTTCCAAAGTACTGGAAATAAAGGAAAATGGAATGATTTAAGGCCCCATTCTGTAAAGCCAAACTTATTTCCAAGCCAAGATTTATTACTTGCACATTTGTTAATCAAAATAGTCCAGCATCCACATGGTGTGGCTCATAACTGCCTATAACTCTAGCTTTAGGGGATCTGATACTCTCTTTTGGTCTCCACAGTTACCTATACTCACACATGTACATTTCTCTATACAGACACACATACACATAATACCAGCACTCAGGATGCAGAAGCAGGTGGATCTCTTCAAGTTCAAGACAGCTTAGTCTACATACTGAGTTCCAGGACAGCCAGGGCTATGTAGAGAGACCCTGTTTAAAATAAACAAAAACCCCTACATTTCTGTAATATGTTACTTAGTAACAAAGTCATTATTGATGGTAACCAATGTTTCTCTACTGAAATATTTACAGGTGACAATCATTTGGCATCAGGATTTCTTTCAGAATGATCTCAGAGGATAAGGGGAGAGATGCAGCAGCTGGCACACAGTTCAACACCGGGTGACCAAACCACTCACTGTATGATGGGGAAGAAGTTTAATGTTTCTATTTTATATAATTTAAAAAAGAATGGGGGTGTGGCTGAGGACACTGTTCAGTGGCAGAGCACTTGCCTAGCATGTACAAGGTCTTGGATTCAATTCCCAGTATTATAATGAGTAAATAAATAAATATTTTATATTTGGAAGCTCTGGTAGAATTTTTGCAAACACACTGATAATGATACTCTCCTATCAGTCAATGAAGAAAGATTCATTTGGGAATAAAGAAAAGGAGCAAAGTCTGGAACAGACCTTGGGCTTCTGGAATGTCCACATAACAAAGGAGGGCTTGGGATTTATGATACAGGCCATCACGGAAGGAAGCCCTGAGCTGTGGCAGTCACTAAGTATGGGTGGCTTTAAAATCATAGTTGGAGGTTTTGCTGTGGCTGCTAAATGACAGTGTGGTTGAACTGGCTCTGTGCACTGTTCCTGGAGGAGGTGAGTGGGACACAGCAGGTGACCCTGGCAAGCATAATACATTTCCACACAGAGAGGCCATGTGCATGTCTGGACCTGTGCTACCTGAATGTTACTGTTCTAGTACCTGAAATTCTACCAGGTACCAGAGAACGAGGACTGCTACGCAATCCTACCACTATGAAGATGCTACCATGACTGAGAACCATTAGCTTTGTAATCCCATGGTTCACAAAATGTTAATCAGTTATTACTGATGACTGAATATACCAGAAATCCAATAAGATAATTTAAATGTCCATGAACACGTGAGTCCTCTGTGACAGATAAGACAAGGCTGGAGCCCGGTCAATAAAAGGCTTGCCACACACACATGAGGACCAAAGTTCAGGTTCCCAAGCAGCAGGGCACAGAAGTGCCAGTCAGAACCCCAGGAGAAAGTAGACACAGGGTGACCCTGAGGCTTGCTGGTCAGCCAGTCTAATCAATTAGCAAGCCATGGGTTCAGGGAGAGACTGTCCAAAAAACAAAACAAAACAAACAACAATAACCAACCAAACAAACAAACAAAAAAAGGAATGAAGGAAAAGAAAAATGTGTAAATTCATTAATGAGTACACCCAACTTTGACCTATGGCTTTCATATGCATATCCACATATATGCACATATGCCCCCCACACATGTGCATCCTCCTACATGTTCTCTCACACACATTACTGGAACACTTTATTATAAGAGCTGGTACTGGTAACGTGATAGTGGCAGGTCAGCCACACATCTTTTATCTTGCTGATCTGTAAAAGCTCACGTACTTATGGAGACTTGAGGCCAACACACCATGTCTCCGTGTCATCTACACTCAGGTTCTACATTCACTCTCCTATCAGCAGTGGAAACTATCCCTACTTAGAAAAGTCTGTTACAATGATAAAGGAGAGGAATAAAACAGTTGCTTCACCTGCAAGGGTGCTGGGAAAACAAGGAGCTCACAGCATCTCCCTCCCATGAAGATGTCTCTCTTGAGACATGATGAACCCCAAGAGACAGTTAATAAACCCTCTTTCTTCCCACTCATGCAGACTTGGGCCAGGGTCTGTTGGGCTGTCTGTCCTCATCCTGAGTAGAGTATGCCCACTGGCCTCACACTGAGTAGAGGGTGCCCGCTGGACCCTGTAGTCACGCTAAGAAGAAGGAGCCAGCTGGCCTCTCTACTCTCACACTGAGCCGGTGTGCCTGCTGGTGTCTCTGCGTTGAGCAGTGGGTTCTCCTGCTGGCATGTGAATTTCATGTCCATAAAGCCTCCTGCTCCCCTGGGTGTGCCAATCTCTGGCTTTGTGCTTCTGGCCTGGAGGGTGGCTTACATACTGTCACAAGCCCATGGGACACTGGGAGGAATTAGGCATTCTTCTGTTCTGTTAGCAGCCAGGAAATAAGAAGGAGGCCCCAGAGCTTCAGCCACAGGCTGATCCAGCCCTCAGGCCCGTGCCTGTGCCCCACAAAAGCACCAGAACCAGATACTGGCCTGTAATCAGTTTGCATAGGTCAAGGACAGAAAGTCTCAATGTTATGCAGGACTGACAGTGTTGGGAGATGAGGGTATATCATGATGGGTTTAGGAGGGAGTTAGGGGGGACAACAGCCCCACAGAAGGAACACCATGCTTAGAGAACAATATGATTGATGGCTGCTTATCTGCCCTGTGGCCACTGACATGTTTCTGTCCCTAAGCCTTAAGTTTCTTTACAAATAAGATGTAGCCTCAGAAGATTTCTCAGTGTTTAAGTGACATGGTAAATATGGAAGTCATCTGTATAAATATACATTAATAAAACACTATATACTGGGTGTGGGCTGGGGGGGGGAGCAGGCAATGCTGGTGGAGCCAGTATTTACTTTGGCAACCTCCTGAAGGCAAAGCAAGGGTCCCCATGAATGCCATGCCCTGAGGACTATTCTGCACAAGGCAGTGAGTAGCATGGTACTTGAGACCAGAGTCTTCCCCAGATACAGGGGGATGGGGAACTTGTATGGCCAGAGGCCAGGAGGAGCCATGAAGGCAGTCATCTTTCTTCCTCCATGACACCAAGTCCCCACAGATGAAACAGGAATTCGGGTCAATCACTGACCACTAGTATCGATATCCCTGCCACACAGGCTGGGGCTTAATGCAATGGTAGGCATGTTAAGGCTTTCCTGTGATTCCTCGCAGGACAAACACTGCCACAGCTCCCTGGTTTAATCAAACTACTAGGCTTTGAGGCACTGTTTGGCATTTCTAAGGTAGAAACAAAAATTTCCTTGCACACACAGACATATTACTATAGACATATTTTACAAAACTTCTGTACACCTGTTGAAGAAATTAGCACTTTCCACACATCTGAGATGTTATTTAAGCAAAGACAGTTATAAATTCCCATTGATGCTTCACAGACTTGTACTCAGTTTGCAAAAACCTATTGTCAGTTGAGGTCCAGAGCCCTGCCTCCTGTCCAAATTCCTTCCTGAACTTGACTGGTACAGGGGCTGGGCTGTGCACATTTCCCCCTGAAACATCACTGGCTACTTGTCACTCAGATATGACGCCGGTGTGCCCCAGGTGCTCATGCCTCATGCCAAGAGCCTGCTAGGAGGCTAAGATGAAAGTGTTCAAGTGGTTCTGCCAATTCCTGGCCTGCCCTCTCTCTGGCCACTCTCTGTCAAGAGTGTTGACTTAATTCTGTTGGTTCCTGCTCGAAAGCTTCCTGGTATGAAGAAACCTCTCCAGGAGAAACTGCTTCTGAACACCCCTGGGACCTGCAATTCCCACACAACCTCCCTGTGGATTTCCTTTCCAGAAATCAAGGAGGCTGTGGTGGTTCCTGTTCTCCAGGGACAGAAAGAGAAGAAAAAGCCTCTCAGAGTCACTTCGGGCAACAGGCCCCAAGTGGATTAAAGCAAAGGAGTAAGGGTGGCGCTCCCTATCTCTCCAAACACTGCTAGGGCTCCTGTCAGACTCAGAGCCCCTCACCTCTCAGAGAGCTCAGTCAGGCTGCTCTGCTGGTCACAGGCATCCTGTACAGCCTGAACAGAACCTGTGTTCACACAGATGGCACATAAACACGCACACCATGAGCCCATACGTGCATGAGCGCGCGCGCGCGCACACACACACACACACACACACACACACACACCCTCTGGAGGGGTGGCAATGGATCTGTTAGCAAAGAAATCACCTTCTGAGAGAGCTGATCAGCGTCAGTACAGTCTGTGAACACAGGGGCGGGGAGGTGTGCTTCTGGACGGGGTTTCTTTTCCATTTGTCTCTTCACCTCTTTATCAAGCCTGCATCACCTCAAGGGACATTCATATGGTGGGTTTTACTAATGAGTGTATTTTACTTGCCTATGTTGTGCTTCTGAACAAAATCTTATTATAGTATTTTTAATATTGCTGTTATAAAATCTTCCCAACAAACACAGGTCTCTGAGTTCAAAAGAGAATTTTGCAGCGCTCACAGCACACACAATAGCAACTGTGATGTAAGGGGCTCCTCCAAAGAGCCGTGCATGTCAGAACACCCAGCTGCAGATGACACAGATCTCCTTCTTGGGAGCCTTATGTGACATATATAGGCCTACCTGTGTCTCAGAACATCTAGGTGTGACTTACATGTCTGCACCTTGGCCACACACACACTATACACAGTACAACACAAATGCATGTGCTTTCAGGTATGTCTGTTCATAAGGGAAGGTACGCTTGTGTGAAGTCACAAATCCTCACACCCGCCAGTCAAACACTCTCGGATTCTCGCCATGTGGACTGCATTCCCGCACCCTGCCGATGACAAAGCATTTCACTCGAGTGAGGAGATCCAGCTGCACTCTCCCTCCCTGTCTGTGACACCTCGCTGGCAGGCTGGCAGGCCTACTTGCCAAACACAGCCAGGCAATGTATGGGTAAGGGGCAGCATTGAGAAGTGACTCCCACCCTCCACTTCAAGTCTCATTCTCTACTGGGGGAGATTAAAGAGAAGTGAGGAGGAGGATGCCAGCAAAGTGCCCGTGACATCCTTGTAGGAGTGGAGTGGTGCTGCCGGGCACAGGCACAGCAATGCAGGAGCACCGTGGCTGCTGGAGACCCTAGGGACAGTTGCACAGGACACCGAAGCTTCTCGGAAGGCGCTGTCTCTTGTGGCAGCCTCCCTTGGGCAGAAACACGGGAGAAAGTGAGGCTACCTTGGAGGAGACGATTCTGTTGTCGGGATATCTCTGTGGAATGTAGGCCTCTGCACCCGGAGGGGGCTCCTTGTGTCCCACGTAGATGGTCCGACTGTCCACCCAGTTCTCTTCTCCTGCACACTATGGAGAGAAGAGCATCGTCAGCTCCTGCCCACAATGCCATCACAATGAAACAGGGACCATCCTGCTGACATGGAGGCCACAGTCCCATACATCAACCCCCTCCTTCCCAGCCTGAGTGCATTCTGATGATGTGGAGGGTCACATAGGGCTCCCAGGTTCCCCACCATAGCCTGGACACATGACTGCCTTAGCCAACTCCCCAGGCAGGCACTGGCACAGAGAGTAGCTATCTGCTCAGGGAAAGGCCCAAAGCACTCTAACGCTGGGTGCTGTCAGACCGCATGAGGCAGGGGGACTGTGCATTTCAAATATGTAGTCAGGTGCCAGGCCCAGAAGACCAGAAGGGCCTGGGACTCACCTCCCTCCTGGATGACCTTTGCTGCTGGGGACATTTCCAGTTCACAGCCAGTAAAGGTGTTGCTGAGCAGCCTAGCACCTATTGCTATTACATCCTCTATGGCTCTCTCTAGTCTTTTACATGACCAGTCCCTCTGTTCAGCTACCTGCTTGCTGCGGCCATGAAGCTCTTCCCATTTGCCCCCCCAGGAGACCATATTGCAAGGCACATAAGTGCATAATTCTGTAATGGCATTTCCTTTTGTCTCTGTGCATGCCTCCACCTGCACTTTTTCCTCAATAGGGACCAGCTTTGTTTGTGCAATGTCTGAATAAACAGCTCAAACTGTAGCCATATCCCCAGGAGCCAGGCAGAATGAATACAACCACTACAGGAGGCAACTTCCCAGCCCTGGCCACTTCCAGAGCATTGGTCTCAGCCCACAATGAGCCAAGTGAGCATCCCTTCATCAGGATCTCAGGGTTTGGTTCCTTAAAGAGAGCTTCCAACTAAACCATACCCACCGCCCTGAACCCTCTAAGGGACAAGGGACAAGGCTGCCCAACAGTTACTATGTTAGTCAGAACAAAGGCCCAGCAACCCTCCCAGTTGGAGATAACTTCATTTGCCTCCTTCCTTTCTACGAGCCTCTAGTTTTGCGGGAAAGCTGATGAGTGCAGGGGACGGTGATCAAGGCCTTGTTAAGAGCCATACATCAGACCTCTGCCAGGAAAGCCGGGAGGGCTCCATTCCCTGCTCATGGAGAAGACAGCTGCTCTGGTGCCCCTTGCTCCATCAGGGTCAGGTCTCTGCACTGAAGTGAATGTTGCAAACACAGGGAAAGGGAAGGCACAAATGCCTTCCAGTGCCTGGTGACACCCCCAGAACCACTGCATTGGCAGTGGCCAAGCTTCAGGAATAGCAGTGAGCCCCCACGGAGACTCTGAAGGCTGAAGTCACACTAGGGCCTCAGGGGCAACCACTTGGAGGGGAGCTAACACCTTCCTCTCTACCCTTCAGCAGGAGAGAAGGTTTGGGGTGAAAACCACCTCCCAGTCTATAAAACAGGAGTCCTCAAGAAAAATCACAGTGACCATGCAAATGCAGCTCCTGGGGTATCTGGGCTCCTGCAGGACTTTCCTTCAGGTTCTTCTCACATCCCATTCCCAGTGGGGCTGTGACAGATGCATTGTGCTTAGTGTCTGGGGATGACTCTAAGCTGAGTGTACGGAGCTCTCCAGGTAAGGGTTAACCACAGGGCAACATGGGCTGAGGGCCAAAACACTGAAGGCCAGGATCTGCTGTTCTCAGTGTGCAGTTAAATATTAATTCCTGCTCTTCCTGACCAAGGCCAAGAGCTGGAGTCACTCCTACGAATCATTTGCCTGCCTGGGTTTTTAAAATAAAACCCGCAAGCATTTGTCTCTGACGGACCACCGGAACCGAGACCACAGCAAGACCACCAACTCCAGATCACAGCAAGAGTTTCAGATTAGCAAGAAGACCTTTGTGGTGCAAGAAGGCTGCTAGGGTCAGGCCCAACCAGAACAGACAGACACTTCTTAGCGACAACAAAGGTCTAGACCAGCCACAGCACCTTGTCCACATGACTAATTAATAAAGTACTAAAAAGAATGGATCAATAAATCTAAGAGGACAGTTAGGCAGACAGCACTTCCATGAATAAGGCAAAGGATCCAGGCTCGGTCATGTACATCATGGGAGTAGACAGAGGGGACTAACAAGTTGGCAGGGAGGTGACAAATCAGCAGGAGGACACTCGGACACATCACTGTAGAGCCAGGAATAGGAGGAAGAAGGCTGTGGGTGCAATGTCTGAGCCCACAAAGGCCAGTCAGCACTTCAGGGGCTCAGCAAGGACCACCACAGCCACAGGCTTCACTAGCAGAACAGCCAGCAGTTAGTTTGGGGGCTGCTGAATCTTCTTAGATGCAGGGACTACACAGGTGTCACTAGGTCAGCCCCAAGTGCCCTGGCCCAGTGAGATAGAGGCAATGGGTAGTATGCTGCAGAGTCCTGTCTACTGTCACTATCCCTAAGGACACTCTACATTTCCACTCAGACTGTAGGAGAGAAACATTATAAAACAACTCAAACTCAGAACTCTGAAGTACAGAAATAACTACTCAGGCTAGATGAGTTTTTAAGGAAATAAAATTAAAATACAGATTTTTTCAAATAGCCATTTGCATCTCTTCATTGTGGGCAATGGATGGGCAAACAGGGGACTAGGGTGACCGCACACGCCTAAGAGACACACATCCCTGGATGTTGTACTCCCAAATACCCTTTGCCTAGAACAGTCAATGCTCAGGAACAGACTCCCACTGTCCATCCTCTACCGGGTCACATCACTCATGCTCAAAGCAAAGAGAGGATCCAATTGGTACAGCTCACATGAGCAGGACAAGGACTGTTCCAGATTACACTAAAGACAAGGCCACTCTCACAGGAAGATTTAACATCCTGCCACCATGCTAAGAAATTGGTCAATTTGTCATCTCCCTCACCAGTCTTGATTACATCACTTCATCACGTCACCGTGTCCCCATTTTGATGGAACTCTGTGGCTTTAGCTGGACCCAGCCCACACTACAACCCTTTCAAAGTGTCTGGGATCTTTCCTCCACATGAGCTGCAATGTTCTTGACTCGTGGTATGCCTTCCAGCTAACTATGGACTGGTTATATATCTTTGTCACGTAGTCACACTAAAGATCAATGGCAGGGCTGCTGGATGCTGACTGCTGCACTCAGCAGGCTTTCCTAGAGGGCTCTGTGGTCTGGGAATGTGTTGACCTGTTTGTTGATTACCCTTCAAGGGACAGCTCATCCACTGGTGACTCTGAGTCCCCACACAGACCTTGGAGCATTCTTTCTAGCAGGTCTGGTGAAGATTGTAGACAGTGAATTTCTAGCGACTGAGCAGGCCCCTGCTTGAAGAAAGATGCAAATAGAGCTCTAAAATGCATGTTCAGTCAACATCCCAACATTGCATTCCTGCAGGAAAAGGTCTTAGAAAGCCAACTCATCCATCTTTGGCTGCTGTGGGAGAACCCAAGTAGTACTGCCCACTCTGTTCTGCTGGCCTCAAGTCTGAGGCCACTCAGAACTTAAGTATTCCCAGCACCAGATGGGTATCACTCAAACAGGACTGGGGAGGTTCCCATGAACCCTCTTCTGCAGGGCGTGATGCTCTGGGGCACAGGGTGGGTACTGTGCACACAAGCCTCCCTACACCCTTTTAGAACAATCACGAACACCAGCTATCCCGAAAGTGGGTACAGAACCCTGGCAAAATTGGCTAGATTTTTTTATTTTGGGAGGCAAAGTTCAGGCTGGAGGCTGCCTTCCACTCACTCCCAGAGTGGGCCCACAAGGTCCCAGAGGCAGACCTTGTGGACCACAAAGGCCAAATTCTCCGGGTGCAGTGATGGATGGCCTTGGTACCACATAGGCCTCTGCCAAGCACACACCAGATTCGTACCTTCCCTCAACCACAGGTCAAGTATGTGTCTGTGTGTACTTGTGAACACAACCCAGGGATGTGTCATCTCCCATCTCTCAAGATAAATGGATCTCAAGGCATCCTTTAGGGAAGATGGCTCACCCAGAGGCAAGAGGGCTTTGGCATGAAGAATGTGCTCTTCAGGCTGATGAGAGAGCACCAAGTCATCAGCAGTTATGAAAAGTAAAGAAGGAACAAGGGCCCTCGGGTCAGACTCACTTATGGAGGACCCACAGGAAGACAACACTGGCACTGCCTGTACTCTTTTGGTTGTATAAGGCATTCCCTGGAAATCTCCAACCCTCTGTGTAATTCTTGGATGGTTCTGCCCTATCCACAGACAGTGAGGGTTCTGGACCCTCTTCAAAGGTGAACAAGGAGATACACTGGCAAGCGTGACTGCCACTAACTCAGTTTTCCCAGTGCACCTGCCTCCATACAACTTCAGCGAAATGCACACCAGCATTTCAAGGCCGGACAATGTACCCAATTTTAAATGGAGTATGGGTTCAGCTGATTTTAAATCTGCCAACTAACCCCCCCCCCACACACACACATACTCAAACAACCCACCCTGAGAGTCTTGTACCAGGGGAAAAACCAGAGTTGCTGCTCTGATCCCTGGACCCGACTCAGGACAGAAGAGCTACTGGCAAGAAGGGAGAGTGACCAGACCCCCGGGGAAATGTCACTGGGCATGCCAAACCAGCCCTCACTTATGACCCGCACAGGACAGAGAAGGGACAGGGCTCACTCCTTGCAGGACATGGCTGCACTTACATGGGTCACCCAGGCAGAATGACCCTGTGGCCATTACAGTCTAAGTGGACGATGGAACAGCTAACACACAGGGACAAACCAGGACTCCATCCATGCAGGCTGTAGGACAGCAACTGCACACAAGTGTCTCAGTGACCAGGAGTGTCAAGAAGGAGAGAGCGAGGAGGATGTTCTTGTCATGTGCTGGACCTCAGAGCTCAGGCAGGCAGGTACAGCCACAGGGGGACAACAGGCACTAGAGGAGGCACAAACCAAAGGTGGGGACTGTGCGGCTCCACTTCAGGGAGCAAGCAAAGTGCCATATGGAGAATGGCTGCCCAGGGTAAGGTCATGGTTTGAAACAGGCATAGCC